TGCCCGCGGGCGGCGACGAATGCCCGCTAGACAAAATGGCAACTCGGGAAACGTGGGGCACCCCGACGGAGCCAAATGCCTTGATTTGTCATCATCATATATATCCCAATAAATCACCATGTTTGATGAACACTCCGACTTTTCACCATGACTTGACTGCAAGGTGGTGCCCCCTAAGTTGGTGCACATATAATTCCACTAACTCTTAGGTTTATGGGCTTAATGATAATGGTATATGTATGTATATATATATGATTAAATATGTATAATTATGCATATATATATAATTTAATACATATATACATATATATATATGGTTTATATATATATATATGGTTTATAGTTGATTTCTAAGTCTTATAACTGTTGGGTCCATGGATGTTTTGTCGAAAACTCGGGGCACCAGCTCGCCGGGCATCCATGGGTCCCCCAGCGATCGACCCTCGGCCCGCTTGAAGCCGTAGACCAACAGAGACGCCCAGGGCTGGTGCATCGAGAGGCACTCAGCGCGGATGAACGGATCGGGGTGTCAGACAACAAGGAACATGATACTGGGGATTAGTTCATGGGGACACAAATTACTATGAAACCTAGAAAAAAGTTACTATGGGTTAATGGGATAAGATGACAACAACAACAACAACAACAACAACAACCACCCACCCACCCAACCAACCAACCAACCAAACAACCAACCAACCAACCAACCAACCAAACAAACAAACAAACACAAACAATCAAACAAACAAACAAACAAACAAACAAACAAACACACAAACACACACAAACGAACAAACAAACAAACAAAATACGATTAATGAATGGATGGTGAATATTATGGCATTTAATGGCTTAATGAATCTTAATGATGGTCTATGGGGATTAGTTCATGGGAACATAAAGTACTATGAAACCTAGAATATATATATATATATATATATACAGTTGCCCTTCCGGTCGCCATAAGCCACAAAGCTTCATTGAAACCAAAACACTGCGTTTCTGCAACCCTGATACAAAAAACTTCAAAACAAGAACCTAAACACGGTCCCAAAAATGGGACCGCCTGGCGGTCCCATTTTTGGGACCACGTGCACAGCTTAGTAAAAGAACAAAAGAAAAGCACTTTCACGGTCCCATTTTTGGGACCGTCTGGCGGTACCAAACATGAGATTGCAAAGTCGCAAAATCAACAGCAAAGGCCGACCCGTGCAACAAACAAAAAAAATACAACTGCGTTTATTTTAGCAACAAACATATAAATTTGGAACAGTATATATATATATTATATAGTAATGTCCTAGGGAATTTTATACGGACCCCCAATATTTATAACATTTTAACAGCAACACTATCTATCCCATTCTTACTGGAGTAGACTGGATGATCAATATGATAAAACTTGGGATTATAAACCAGCAATACGTACCTCAAGAATGTCATGGGGCCTAAAATCACGATGAAAGAAACCAAGAAATGTTCTGTGTTAGATGGTGAACCATTGTTTCAGTATGTTTCAGCATGGCTATCATAGATACCCTCTGGTAAACATACCAAAAACTATGGAAAATCACCATGATATCAATGGGTAAATCCACGAACTAAATGGGCCATTTTCCATAGCTATCCTAAATTGGAGGTATGTTAGTACCATATTTCAGGCCATATTTTGTGGTAATATTCCCTGCAATTTAGGCCTTATATATGATAGGTACCTCCAATTTTTTCGGTTCCTGTTGCATGGCCATTGAAACTATCGGAAACTCATCCGGGTAAATTACAATATTTCACTAACCTGAATTAAGGCCATTTGGGGATGATTCCCCTTACTAACTATGATTTCCAGTGAGGTCGCAGTGAGGTCGTTATAATTTACCCAGAACTATTATCATTATTAACCATTTCCAGGTATGAACCATTATCAATCATTATTAACCATAATTAACCATTATTAACCATTATTATCGGAAACTCATGGGGACATGGACCCGGACAAGACCATCCCCCGGCATCTCCGAAAGTTGTCTTTGGACAAAAGGACCTGTCCGGTATCGTCGGCGTCGCTGTAAGGACTCTCCTGGAGCTACGACGCGACGCTGTAAGACACAACTGACTACTTTTCAAGAGTTGCAGGGAATTCGGAAACCCTCCAGTAAACTAACATAGCTATGGAATATATTTATAGAATTATAGATGATTTACATTGCATATTAAACATATTTTAACATTGTGATTTTGTTCCCAACGCTACGTTAAATTACCAGAGGGAACCACGTATAACCAACAACATGAATGATCTACAGGTTGTTCGTTCAACCATAAAATATGATGATAATTTGAGACAGCGTTAAACTTTAAACGCATATAGGGGTATAATTATGGAATAATGGATGAATGATGGTTCGTTGATATTTGCTCAGATTGCTCGCGATGTAAGTACATCCAACATTGCTCTCATTGCGGTCACTCTAGCCATCAAAAACGGAATTGCCAAAAACATCCAAAAACAATTAGGACATACTGGGTCCATATTAACTGGGTCACTCCCACTAAATTTAACATGGAACCCAAAAATATGTAGATGTCCTGACTTCACTTGTTGGCTGATTCAGAGATACCCCCATTGAACAAGTAACATGTAACTTCTAACTGGTACCGACTCCGACCCCTCAATTTTTCACAAATGAACATGATGACAATGATGACCTCCGGACGCTGGTCAGGAGTCCCCGAATCAAAGCTGGTTGGTGGTTGCTGCCAACCCCTCAATGATGGAGTTCGTCAGTGGGGATGATGAATTTTCCCAATTTTTCTTCATGGAAAACTCACTGGACAAAATACAAATATGAATGGAAAAAATATATGGAAACGTCATAAAATTCCATGGTTCCAAACCACCAACCAGAAAGTGTTTCGCCGGTGTCTATCTTGGTAGTGGGCATTCCGATCAAGACTTCGTGACTCGTGACAGAAAAAAAACAAAATCCAGCTGTTTCTCATCATTTGGCAGTGTGTCAAAACCTTGTACCCTTGGTGAACATCAAAATAGCTGGTAAATGGATGTTCATCCCCCTAAAAATGGTATGTATAGGTATTGATCCATAGCCATTTTCCGCAATAACATAGTAATTCTTGGGGGATGCGGTACGCCATAGACCCGATTGTCAGACACATCCAGACGACCATCAGAGCTGGTTGCAGACTTATATGGAAGCAATGCAAGGCAACAGAGTAGTTGGATAATAAATATTTATACTTATTTATGTATATTTATATATGTATTTATATCTAGATTTATTTACATATCATCACCAGCACTGGAAACATCATAGAAAATGGGCAAGTTCAAAGAAACCAACAGGTCTTAGACCTACGCGAACTTCGCGTCAAGGTGGCTACCCTGTTAGTTATGGAAATGTAGCTTTGTAATCCCGGCCAACGTTAGTTAAAATCACCATAAACCAACTTAGCTAATAACTTATAACTAGGGTCATTGACCATTTGCTTCATAAACTGAAACTATAAACCATTTATACCCTCTGGTAATTTAACGTAGCTATTGAAAATGGCCATTTATAGTGGATTTTCCCATTAAAAATGGTGATTTTCCACAATTATGTTAGTTTACCAGAGGGTAGTCAGCATAAACCCTAGTCATTCGAGCTACAAACCAACTTAGCTAACTACGGGGCACCCAGGGATCTAATTTAAACCCCCTCGTAGTTCAAAGGACGCCATAACAAATGGAATACCGTTTACCCTCTGGTAAACTAACAGTTTGCTATGGAAAATCACCATTTTTAATGGGAAAATCCACTATTCATGGCCATTTTCAATAGCTACGTTAAATTACCAGAGGGTAGTTTAGTCCATGTCAGGATATTCACTTACCCATTCTTAGGCATTTTGGCTTTCACTTTCACCATACCCTACTGTGGATGGTTGCGAAATCCCAGTTGATAGGTGGTAAACATCCCACTATTCATAAAGGGTTTCAACATGTTTCAACCATCCAAGGTGGTACAGGATTTCTTCCATCCACAGTATCTCTTTTCATATCACATTCCACTGCTGCGGTGATGTTCCCTTGACTTCTTGGTGATGTAGCCATGGCGCCATGGCGCCCTGAGCTACGAACGGTTTGCCACGACTAGTCAAGTCGTTGGTTGTATGACGGATCGAAACCATGGCGCCTTGCTCAACAAATAACCTGCAAAATGGATCGTCTCAAAACATATATCTCCAAATTTGGTCTTACAAGTCTTGACCCATCAGAATATCGCCATCTTCCCCCCAAAACCACAGGAAACTTCACACCCCACCGCGCTGGCCAGTTGTTTCAAACCATATAGAGCGGAAGGCTCTGGAGTCAGCGCACACCTCTTGCCATGACTCGCCGCAAAAGGTGGATTTGAAGCCGTCCGGGAGTGGCACCACAATAGAAACACAAGGGTTGAATGGTACTTCTGATGAAGGAATTCACGTGAATGTACAAGATGGGGCCTCCGTTCGATAGCTAAGTTGGTTTATAATTCCAAAAACTATGGCTAACTATGGTTTATGATACTTGTAACTATAGTTAATGGGGTTTATAAACCGACTTATAACTGGGGGGCACAATCCTGTATCTTATATATATATATATACATAAATAAAGCAAACAAACAGGATCATGATCTGGGTTGGGCTCAAGAATATTCGGCTCAAAATGATACAAACATCTCATATTTGGCAAACGGAAGAGAACAACGATTGATGATCCCGAGCCAATCCGGAGTGCTTCTTCTAATTCAGGAATCCAGTTCAAGTAAATTGCAAATTGAAAACACAGCGATGGGTACACTGCGCATGTGTCCAGGTCTGAACATCTGATCTGACTCTGATCTCTTCAGCGCTCAGCAGAAGCTTCCTCTGCTTGGTGGTTCATCCCACGAATCGTAAGTGGGTTAGTTCACCCCAGTGATTTCAGTGGATTTACCCTACCCCATGTAAATCACTGGGATTATAAACCACTTACGATTCGTGGGATGAGCCGCTTCCTCTGGAAATCACAAATCCTGCGAGTAGGTCCACTCTTGGTTCCGATTTCCTGGGCGACGGTGACAAATCTGCCAACAGACTCTGTGTGGGGTTTGAGGGATGAGAAGAGAATAAAACATATGCTGTGCAAAAAAATGAAGTGTGCTGATCACCGACTGCGAAGACTTATCCTCAACATGTATCGAAAGACATTATATAATATATATATATATATACATAATGTAAAATAGACGTTATAGACGCTGAAAAAATATGGACACACATGTAATTCTGCAATATATTGAAACCTTCTGACCCCGTTGCCCTTCAGTTTCAGGAATCTTGGGATTCACCAGCCAAACCACCAATCGTTGGTTCATATGTTGAACATTTCTAATCAATGACACATTTTGAATAGTTGGTTCATACATATTTGAAAACATACTTGAATACTTACAAAAAATCTAGTATTGAGGGCCATAGAGGCGCAAAAACTGATCCAGAGAACATATCAAGACATTACCCAGGTTCCAATGTGGCAGAGGAAGATTTGTACCTCAGTCAGACACGGCAGCCAGCAACACATCCATAAATGGGAATGGCTGAATGACTCAAATTTATGTATGCATCTATATAATTTTCTATCTAGATATAGATATGTACATACATACTTGAATACTTATAATGAGAAATTTTGTGCGTCCTTTGATATCACATTTCTTTGAGCAAAAGCCAACGGACAGGCAAAGTCCACCTATAACTGAGATTGAAACACATTTGGTTGGTTAGATAGTTGGTTGGTAAATTAAATGTTTAGTCAGTCATACGGGGATGGGTCAAAACCCTGGTACAAAATAGCTAGTAAATGGATGTTCATCCCACTAAAAATGTATCTATAGGTATTGACCCATACCCATACCTCAGTTGATTGGTGATCAAGTAGATGTTCTGGAAGAGGATCAAGTATCTCCTGAGGAAATAAAAAATGGGGGTGATTTTGGGTGTTAACTACCTTCTCAGGTGGTATTAGTTGGATCTAAACAGGGGCCAATGTTTCTTGCTTAAACATGTTAAAGATTCAATTTGTATCAAAAACTGGGAGAGAGGACTAAACGTGGACTTTGTTATGCCCCAAAAATAACGCCCTCTGATAATAATCCCTCTCTTATAAATCTTATAATCCCCTAGTGACTTTTCAACTGGGCTTAGACAGCTTGGCTGTCTGGTCTGTCCCAACGAATCTTCCCCAAAAAGATGCAAAACAGTGTTTCCAGCCTGGGAATGCTCCATGATATTTACCAAAAATATGTCCAGGTTTCCCATTGGCTGCAAACTTTTTTTTGGGAGCTGCTATACCCTCTGGTAAACTGACAAAAAAACTATTGAACATGGCCATTTAGTTCGTGGATTTACCCATTAAAACTTGTGATTTTCCATAGTTATGTTAAATCACCAGAGGGTAACATGTGAGATCGCATTGAACTCGATCAAAAAATCGACCATGCATTGCGCCGCGTCCAAGCCATCCCACATGTCGTCCAAGTGACACGCCCTCCGATGGTGTCGGGTTGAGCTGCATCAAGACACTGATCGAGGTTCTTCAGTTTCACCTGTGGAACCCCATCGTTTTATGCGGATACCAACCATAATATGGTTCTATAATGGGCATGTAATATAAACATATATATATATATAAAGACGATAGTGGGATATAGAACGAACATAAACAAACTATATATACATATATACATGGATTTTGCTTAAGGAACCACCTTAAAAAGTAAAAAGCATGCCCTATAGATTCCCCATTTTTGTGGATTTCCCATGGAAACAATATGGGATGTAATCTGACCAACAAAAAATGTTGCTTCATTCACAAATGATGGGGACTAAAACTATGAAATCTGGGGAAAATCTGGCGTATTCAAGTGCCAATTTATTGTAATTTGATGTAATTTGTCCATGAAACTGCGTAGAGCCCAGATCGGAACCGACCAAAATGAACATCTAATCAACAAACATGGATATACTGTGGATGGAAGAAATCCTGCACCAGTTGTTACACCGATACGCCAAAGTCCTTGCAACGTTTGCGTTTCACAGCTATTCCCAATCAAAACGCTCGCCACGACCCTTGTCCCGGCACAGACCTTGCAAAACCCCTTTCCCCATTGGAAACGCTAGCTTTAACAAGCCTGGACCAAACTATCATGGTTCTATTCGTTTTTGATCGAATCCCATCGGAACGCCGGTTTCCAACGGGCCTTTTTTCGTGGGTACTGTTGACGCCCACAAACAAAAACGCGAAGCAGGCCCTTTTCCTAATTTGTATACTGCAGGATGGGTTCTGATAAAGGAAAAAACGACGTCCAAAACGAGGTCAAAACGAGGTACGGAAAAAGCCCCGCATCTACAGCTACACACATGGACTTTGGCCCGCAAGCCGCAAACCTGCCCTTCCTTGGATCACTGGTAGCGAAACAATGACAATTTGCAGAATCCCAGCACACCGCCATGGCAGTGTAGAGATGATAATCCCAGCGTTGTGTAGAAGTACCCGGAAACAGCAACAGCAGCAGCCATCGAACCAGCAGCCGCAGCAACAGCAAGACCCCAGTAGCTGCAGAACCCAACAGCAACCATCCCAAACACAATGAGAACGCAACTAGCAAGATTAAAGCACTATCCTAATAGTAAAACAACGCCCTACCCCAAACACAACCTAAACGCCCACTTTAGGTCTACATGAGATAGCAAAACAGCAACCTACCCTAAACACAAGCTAAACGCCGCATCGCCACGACTTCCACAAAAGCCTTCCCCCAAGCTAATTTCAAGATTTTTGGGATTTCGCCACGACTTGGGTAGATGGGAGTAGATGGTTTATCCCATTATTTCAAGGATTTCACCCATCCAAGATGGTGCAAGATTTCTTCCATCCACAGTATCATAAGGAACGACCGTATTATCACATGGCTAACCATACATAGATAACCCCGGAAAAAAAGAGTTGGTTCATGTTGGTTCGTGTACATATCCTCGTTGCCAGAAAAAAAAGCACTGAGTCCTATCCAAGATTGACAGTGTGGTCAAGATATGGTGGGATATGGTCATCTCACCATCATTGAGATCTGTATAACCATAGGTGGATGTTTATAGACCCTGAACCATGAGGTTATTTAATATACCTATTTATACGGATCTATATACCTATTACAGATCCATATAAACAACCAAATACCATAGGCGATATGGTTATTTATACTAGTGGACTAGCACATAGAATATTCGATTTTATTGACTATGCAGTTAGAATATCCTTAAAACCATGTCCCCGGGGTAAAACCAGTGCACTTAGAATATTCGATTTTTGCACATGTATAACATAATTTAAACATAAAAGCATGATTTTAATAGAAATTTAGGACTGTTTCACAAAATCGATGCACATAGAATATTCTTTGCATGCGTTCCTATGTGCAATGGGGATGCTTTGTACATGTAAACATGATAAACATGCATGTACATATGTATATATGTATGTATATAGAAGCTAGCTAGCAGCTATTTACAAGCTATTCAGTTCAGTAACTATTTGGAAGCTATTTAGCAGCTAGCTAGCAGCTATTTAGAAGCTATTCAGCAACTATTTGGAAGCTATTTAGCAACTATTTAGCACCTATTTAGTAGTTATTCAGCAACTATTTGGAAGCTATTTAGCAGCTAGCTAGCAGCTATTTAGAAGCTATTCAGCAACTATTTGGAAGCTATTTAGCAGCTAGCTAGCAGCTATTTAGAAGCTATTCAGCAACTATTTGGAAGCTATTTAGCACCTATTTAGTAATTATTCAGCAACTATTTGGAAGCTATTTAGCAGCTAGCTAGCAGCTATTTAGAAGCTATTCAGCAACTCTTTGGAAGCTATTTAGCAGCTAGCTAGCAGCTATTTAGAAGCTATTCAGCAACTATGTGAAAGCTATTTGGCAGCTAGCTAGCAGCTATTTAGAAGCTATTCAGCAACTATGTGAAAGCTATTTAGCAGCTAGCTAGCAGCTATTTTGAAGCTATTCAGAAACTATTTGGAAGCTATTTAGCAGCTAGCTAGCAGCTATTTAGAAGCTATTCAGCAACTATTTGGAAGCTATTTAGCAGCTAGCTAGCAGCTATTTAGAAGCTATTCAGCAACTATTTGGAAGCTATTTAGCACCTATTTAGTAGTTATTCAGCAACTATTTGAAAACTATTTAGAAGCTAGCTAACAGCTATTTAGAAGCTATTCAGCAACTATTTGGAAGCTATTTAGCAGCTAGCAAGCAGCTATTTAGAAGCTATTCAGCAACTATTTGGAAGCTATTTAGCACCTATTTAGTAGTTATTCAGCAACTATTTATATAAATGTGTCAGCATTGTTGGCTACCAAATATCGATTTATATATATATATGTATATATATATATATAAACTAAACCATTCTTGATTCCACTTAGAATATTATGGAGTCTCAAGCCAGGGCTTGCTTTGCGAAAAAAAATGGGGGTGTTTCACAATTTTGATGCACTTAGAATATTCTCAAGATCAGTATACATCTAAAATCATATAATTTTTGAATATTCTATCTGCATATCCAGGCTTGCACTTAGAATATTCTCAGCAGGGAGCCCGCAGCTAATTAATTTGGCTGGAAGTTGATTGACTTATTATTCTAAGTGCGGGTCCTCTAGTATAATAGGTATATAGATCCATATAAATCAACACCGGATTAATAAACACCAAACGGCTGGTTCATTGGGAAGGTACTTCCTAAAAAAGTATCAACTCATGACTATTGGGGGAATACCCCCCTAATAAACCATGGTTTAGCAAAATCTGGGGTTGACATTATTCTTGAATTGATAACCATCTCCCCAATAACTTTTGACCATGTTTTGACAACGCTTTGACCGTAGAACAAAAACTGTCAGCAAGATCAAGTTCTCTTCACGAAACGGTAGAACCAATTCGCAGTCAGATAAATCCTCGCGGATGTCATTGGTTCAAGCACACAATGTTGTGGCGACACCAAACAGATTTCTAGAAAACTAAAATGGCTAATTACTTTTCTATCCTTTTGAGGGTTACTATAATCATCGTGTTCTATTTGTTTCGCAAGAATCGTCGACTCGTTTTTAGCGAGATTCCGGTATACATACAAGTAGTGACGCATACACAAATATCATACTTGCATGATCTTGCATGCATATTATGTTCCAAATACATGCACATACTTGTTGGCTGGAACTCCATTATTCTGTGATATTCTGTGTATTTCCAATGTCCACTCCACTCCTGTGAAATCATCATATCAATCAGAACGTTAGCAGAAGTTCTTGCCGGTCAATCCGATGTTCATCGCAACCCGCCCCAGTTCTCACCAATCCTGGCCCTCTGATGTCAGCGCACCTGCTCTGAGTCTGCATTGTACCTCAGTGGCCGTGGGCTTGACATCATTTGCTGAGAATATGATTTTTGTTTGAACTACCCTCTGGTAAATGTTTACATAACTATGGAAAATCACCATTTATAGTGAGTTTTCCCATGAAAAATGGTGATGTTCCATAGTTATGTAAACGTTTACCAGAGGGTACTTAGGACCCAACCAGCTGCCCTTTGTCATATGCGGACATAGCAATCCTGGCCCTGGTTCTGACTCTGACTGCTGGGACGACCGATGCTGACCATCGTCACTGGGATCAAGTGGGTCATTTTTAGGGGGCATTGTTTCCTATGTTAATCTGCTTGGTGGTTGCTGCTAACGCCTCTGAAACATATTAGAGTTCGTCAGTTGGGTTGGGATGATTATACCCGATATATGGAAAAATAAAAGACGGGCCCATAGATAGGTGAGTTGGTTTATAAGTCGTGTAAGTAGGGTTTATTCATGAACAATTCTCTGGCTGGTGGTTGCTGCTAACCCCCCTGAAAAATATGAGTCAGTTCGTCAGTTGGGATGATGAAATTTCCCAATATGTGGGAAAATAAAATTCATGTTCCAAACCACCAACCAGCTAAAATCCATCCATTGCTCATCATTTTCCTCAGATTAGATTGGCAATAAACTGGGGGTATAAAAAAAAACACTGTTTCCAACTCATGTTCAAACACAACGATTTCGCGGCATCCTCTGCAAAATTTTGGCGGCAAAAAGGTAAATCGCATCCCATGAAGTGCTATCCCATCGTGAATCTTATGAACAATCCCATGAAATGACCATGGCTATCCCATCAATCTGAGATCAATTAGTTATCCGTTGCTGCCCGGGTAAAAAACAGTGGTTGGTGCTAACCCCTCTGAAATATATGAGTCAGTTCGTCAGTTGGGATGATGAAATTTCCCAACTGAATGGAAAGTCATAAAATTCCATGGTTCCAAACCACCAACCAGCATTCATTAACTATAGTTATATCTACCATAAACCATAGAATTCAGCCGCTTGTAGATTCCAAACCACCAACCAGATTTAAATCCCTATTTAAATCTCGATTTTCGTGGATCACTCCTTCAATATGGGTGTATAATCCTCGTTTTGATCGTGGCACGTTTCATGGCCAATTTTAGATACCCTGCACAAAAATAACTTCTTAGCTGGTGAAGGTAGATAATCCCACTGATACCATCTAAGATTGACCTACAAGGTGGTGCCCCCCAGTTATAAGTTGGTTTATAAACCCCATTAACTATAGTTATAAGTACCATAAACCATAGTTATTGGAGTTATGTTCACCAACTTAGCTACCCTCTGGTGAACTAACATAGCAATGGAAAATGGCCATTTATAGTAGATTTTCCCATGAAAAATGGTGATTTTCCATTGCTATGTTAGTTCACCAGAGGGTAACGAACTGGGGCACCACCTTGTAGATTTGGGGTACAGTCCACTTGGCTTTCAGACTCCTTGGACAAAAAAAAACAGCAGCGCCAAGAGGCTCCCAGCTTTGCGCGGAGGAGTCATCGAGGCAATCACCCATGGCCACCGGAATACCTCACAAGATTTCATGAAAAAAGTTGGGAGTTTTGCAACAAACATCATGATTTAAGCAGGCCCAAATAGGGAATTTGTCCGTGATTTCTGCTTTGTGATAGAATGTGAGGCCCCCCAGTTATAAGTTGGTTTATAAGCCCCAGTAACTATAGTTATAAATACCATAAACCATAGTTATTGGAGTTATAAACCAACTTAGATATCTTGGGTGCCTCACATTGTAGAATACTTTAGGGAAATTCCGATAAAGCAACCATTTGTGGGATTTAACCTGCAACAAATGTGATTTAACCAGTAAAAATTGGGAGGTTAACCAACAAGGTGGTGGCGGCCTAAAAACCAGCAATTTCCTGGGCTTATATCCCCTGGTAATTCAACATAGCTGTGGAAAATCACCATTTTTACATATGATTGCTAGGTTCATCATCATAAATCATCTAAAACAATGTTCATTTCCCGTAGCTGCGTTAAATGACTAGAGAGTAGTGAGATACTTCAGGGGATTTTGCCGTTGGCTCTAGGCAGCTTGACAGAAGCCTGAGAAAACAATCTCAGGAATCTCTGCAATGTTGGATTTCGGTCAGATTGGTGTCCAAAACAATGAACGTCAACCAACTGAAATGGTGAATGAAACAGGATATTTTGTGACTATCAACCAACAGGTTCGAATGGCACACATGATGATACACTTTTGCTTTTGAATTCTGGGATACTCAGTTTTTGACAAACTCTGTGGGATTGTGGAGCTTATGACCAATACAGCAATGACTACCCTCTGGTAAACTAACAGTTTGCTATGGAAAATCATCATGCTATTCATGGGCAAATCAACTATAAATGGCCATGTTCAATAGCTTTTTGTATGTTTACCAGGCCGGGTATGTGACGTGAATATATTACCCACAAAACATGGGAACGATTGGTACGCCGCTTGCGTCCGGGCTATACCCTGACACAGGTGCTGGCGTCCCAGCTCCCAAAACGGGATCCAGTGCCTAGAGGACCTCCCAAAAGGTTACAATGTGATCCCCGTGTTGTAAGTTGGTTTAAAAAACCCAGTAACCATATCTGGTTGGTGGTTGACCTGCCCCTCTGAACAATATGATGAAATTCCCAATATATTCATGGAAAACTCACTGGACAAATCCAAATATTAATGGGAAACATATGGGGCCCCATATATGGAAAGTCATAAAATTCCATGGTTCCAAACCACTAACCATATATATATATATATATAATATATCCACTATAGCCATGCGTTAGATCAATGACCAACTCAGCCAACCCTCGGGGCCAGCTGGGTGGCTTGATTCGCCACATTAACAATGTTCATCGGGCCCCCGAATAGCAATCGCAAAATCAACTTCGAACTTGGCGAAGGTTTGGGCTTTATGGGGATTATAACATATCATATACTGTGGTTAAAACAATAATAAACTACCCATTTGGGGAATGGTAAACATACCACCTATAAAAATGGTGATGACTGGGGGATGGTTTATTATTGTTTTAACCACATTATTGCAACTATAGTTTTCACTTTCTAAACATGTCTAAACCAACAAACATGATGTACATAACATATATCATATAACCTATTATATAACATATCATAGTTTTCAAGTTCTAAACACGTCTAAACCAACAAACATTACGGTTGGCCCTTTATTACATCCCCCAGGATGTGTCAAGTTGCCAATCGCTTGCGTCTCCAAAACAGGAAGGCCCGTAGCCTGGTTTGAGGAACCCCCCAAACACTAAAACCGATTCCCTTAATGTTAATACAGCAATAACCACCCATCTATTTTGATGGTTTATACCACCAGATATCACCATATACCACCGATGTTTAATAATATATATATATATATTGTGTTTAAAACAATAATAAACTACCCATTTGGGGCATGGTAAACGTACCACCTATAAAAATGGTTATGACTGGGGGATGGTTTACTAGGATTTCCATGTGGTTCATTGCTCTTTCACACACAGAATCCACATCCCCTGTTCATATGAAACACCCCTTGGAAACCATGGTTTCGTAGGGGGATTTGCACATACTTGTGCCCTTTTAAATGCGGGTGTTGGTTTGAATAATGCAGGGGGATGGGATGAAAATCGATGTTTTTCATCGCCCCAACAGATGGACACACATTTTTTTTGACCGTCTGACATATCAATAGTTTAACAATATTAAGCTCCAAATACCAGTGAGCTATCATAGCTACATATTCTTGAGCACATATTAATAGATGTTTAGACTGACTGGAAAGTCATGAGACTCAGCTCTGCCAGGTGCTTCTCCAGCTTGAGCCAATGCCCTTATCCAAAACCGACTGCTGTGCCCAACTAAATTTAGCTAATTGTGATATTCACAAGACCAAAGCCGCACCTATGATAGCCTCAAAAGGCCCATGCTTAGACTTGATGAGTTTCTAGCCTTTATTCTTGCTTAAAGTCCCACCTTTGCCAATAGGATTAGCTCCTCTTCTGATTCTTATCTGGGCGGTAGTTGAGCCACACCCCTGCGAGAAAACTTGTTGGGGATCATCATTCCACCTGTTGGGATGAAAACCAAACCACAATTGCAACCACAAACCAGAGACATCCACAGACCAGTTATTGGTTGGCTAGACAATCCAAATTGAAGGTTAGTTGCACCACTTTTAATTTTCACCCCTGAGCTTAAACACCCACAAAGGGGAACCCCTAGATAGGCTAGATAGGTAAATGGCAAGCCATAACTAGGTGGATGTATCGACAGTTGGGTGCACATAAACCAACTTAGACCGGGGGTGCCACACCGCATATCTCCGAGGCTGTCAAATCCATTCAAGAAACAATGTTCATTTACAAAGGAAAATAAAGTGCTGCTCAAAATCTGGGTGTGTCTTAAGTTTGGGTACTCATGATTTACAACATCATGTCTGGCATTCAGAACGTGTTTTTATTTTAATAGGGGGTATGTATACACCCCAAATGAGATTTCTCGTCTTACATCCACTGTAACTATCCCACTATATCCTCAATATGTGCATTTTTCGTTGGTCAAGTCCCACATTGTTCTTTCACAAACACACATATTGAGAGAAGCAAACATTATCAAGCCATTATTAAGGCCCTACTAAGAACATATTGGTGTTGCATCCTCCATTTTTGCGGGCTAGCATATTGTATATTGTATCCCAATTTCCCGATAAAATCCCCAATCCCACCCCAGAAAGGACAAATTAGGTAAAATCCAACCAAAAACACATCAATTGCTGTTCATTTTTTGTGGTGGAGGTTACTCAAAACCCCTTCGAATTCTGGGTGGTTCCCAGCTCCTCTACTAAAAGTTCAACTTCTACAATGTGAGGCCCCCAATATAGCTAAGTTGGTGAACATAACTCCAATAACTATGGTTTATGGTATTTATAACTATAGTTACTGGGGCTTATAAACCACCTTATAACTGGGGGGCCTCACATTGTAGTCGCTAGAGTGTATCTAAATCACCATTATCCCCAAAAAAACGAACAAAGTCTACGGGAGTGGCTGGGTTTTCACCCCAACTTCGACAGCCTCCAGGCAGAGTCCGTTGCGGTCTCTCAGCTGTCCACTGGTCGTGTTGTAGATCCACCTGGACCCAACTGCTACGTGCCGTGTGCCCCGACGTGGGCAGGTGTCAACTTATAAAGGAGTATACTTGGTGGTTATAGCCCCAGTTATAAGTGCATTAACCCTACTTATCCCATTTATAACTGGGGTTATAACCCACTTACTAAGTGGGATGAACCACCAAGTAGCTACATATGGCTAGTGTTACAGCTAATTGGTGGTTGACCTACCCCCTGAAAAATATGAAAGTCAGATTGGATCATCATCCCAGACAGTAAACATGAAGTCTACTTAGCATCGCTGATTTCATGGACTATATTTGCAATATTAGATATGAATATGCAAAATATGATGGGATGTTAATGGATGCTGATGTTTTCACGGGTAACGAGTATTTAATGGGATATTTGGAGATAATGATGGAACATACAATCAACTTGATCTGTGCCATGGTCAAGTTACATAGACAAATAAGGATTATGACTATGGTCATCGCACAGGAATCCAATCATAATGGCTATGTACATCTGAATGGATTGATGACCATTTCCAATTTTTGACATTGCGCAATATGGCCATACCTTGCCATACCCTCTGGTAATGACCAACAGTTTGCCATGGAAGCCATGGCCTGTAGTTCGATGATTTGCCGCAAAATTGAACATTAAACATGGTGATTTTCAGGCGCCGCAGTGATGTTTGTTGGTTAACAAAAGCCCCAGTAACTATAGTTATAAATACCATAAACCATAGTTATTGGAGTTATGTTCACGAACTTAGCTATCTTGTGGTGATTTTCATCAGACAGTAATGTACAATGGCTCGAAAGTGCGAGGTGCAGCGAATCTATAGCTGCTGATGGTGGCTGGTCACCAGCAAAAAAAACGTGAAACATGAATAAAAATGATGGTTTTCCAAACGTTTTGACGGGATGCGATAGAATATCATGGTGAGTTTGCCACCAAAAGTTGGAACCTGTAAAACAAGCGCCCCCAAGTAGAACTACTTCGATTGCTAGTTTAGCAACCATGAATACTGTTGAATACCTTTTACTCACCAGATTGTGTCTGCATGCTTTCAACGAGGATTGTAATTCAAGCGTTAGAATACCATGACAGGCATTGATAACTATATTATTTTGAGCGAATGTTCGGTTCTGCGAGTATAGCTAGATGGGGTGGTAAACCAAGTTACAACTGGAATGGGCATAAACTAGATAAACCAGGTGGCTCGTGGGCAACGCCCATGTTTAATTATCTCAGTTATATGGACAATTCACAGTTGCATATGGTTCGAAATTACGGTGCGCTAAAAGGATCTAAAAGGTATAGGATATTTAACCAGCCAAGTATGCGCTGGCAATGGCGGGTGCAGGAGAAATAGAGGTTTCATTGATTTACTCACCCCTTGAAAGGAAATACTGTAACCTCTGGCAAATTAACATCGCTGTGGAAATTAATAATCGCACTATCTTGAAGGTAAATCATCTGTAAATGGACCTAATAGTTAGGTTAAATTACCACAGTGTATTGCTGAAATAATAGTACAGTAAACCTCCCAAAATGTTCTCAGTAAATCATCCCCGATGCAACCCAGATTCGTGTTCTCTTTAAATTCCCACGTTTGATAAAATATCTTTCTGCCAAATCCACATTTCTGCAATCTCAGCATCATCGCCGGTTCAACTCAGTTGTGTGAAATTCTCCCGATATTTTTGGATTCAATTTAATCACTGGTTGGTGGTTTCAGCCACTCTGAAAAATATGAAAGTCAGCTGGGATTGTTCTTCCCAATATATGGAAAAATAAAAACAATGTTCCAACCACCAACCAGATCATATTTAATCCCACAATCACACTTGGATGCTTCAAAATCCCACCAAATAACCCGCTTTGGTGCCCATGTTTGGCTGGTAAAATCTTCAATTTTTTGGTCAGGTCAAGTCCAGATTTCCTCTTTTGGTAGATGCTTAGATCCTTCCAATATGTCCAGGGCTCCAGGGCTTGAATTTGGTGAATCATCCCCCATTGTTTGTCGCGCAATCTCTTTGGATTGCATGTGTTTGTTTAAACAAGTCCTGGTATTTTACACGTATATCACCCACTATTTCTGAGTGAAATCCCATGATGCTCGTGGAATCCATACATTTTTACTATATGGTGTTTCCTCAGTGAAGTGCAATGTTATTAAAATAGTACAGTATAAAAAAAAAAAAACGAGAAAAAACGTGAACTGCAGTTACTCATTATCACAGATAGGTTCATGAAACTCGACATTCAATAATGTTCACATCAATCTATATTCCACCGTTTTCTCACTTAAAAGAGTTGCACTCTGGTAAACTAACATAGCTGTTGAAAATGGCCATTTATAGTTGATTTACCCATGAAAAATTGTGATTTTCCATAGTTAGGTTAGTTTACCAGAGGGTATATGAAATTCCAACCTAAAACATCCCATTCTGTTGCAATATATTGGGGCACACTGGCCTCAATTTCACGCTGCCACGTACCAATGGCGGTCTGACTGCTGTTTACCAAAGCGTAAAAGTCACCCTGTTCATCCAGTGGTGCCGAGGCGCAGCTGTGCATCATCGGTGTTGCAGGGCTGTAGCACAGCCCGTCGCTGAAACACTTCCAAGCAGAAGGAGGCGCCCGTGCGAATGCGGCCAATCCTCGGGCTGGAAACGTTGAAGAGAGCGCAGCCACATCTATACAAAGCATGTTGATATCTGATGTCTATATATCTATATATATGTTTTATATCATAAATAGTATTCATAAAATATTATATATATGTATATACACAATGTGGGATTGTTCTACATATATGTTGATATGACTCAATATGAGGACACTGACTATGTAGATACTGTACATATGTATGTAAATAAATATATATATATATACATAAATAAATGAATATATATATATATATATATACATAAATAAATGAATATATATATATATATATGCACTCGGGTTCGTTTACATATATGGTGGCATGGCTCGACATTTGCAGATATGGGTGTATACATATATACAATCCGAGCAACCAGATAGGGCTATGTGTTTTTCCTTTTTCAATGATATGTACAGACGTATGAGAACGCATTTGAGGTATGATTTAGGGGGTTAGACATATTCTCGAGTAGCATTTTGATCCATAGGGTACAAGTATATATGTACATATAAAAATTAATATATATATATATATAGAGAAACAAACAAATATGTATGCTCCTCCTTGTTGCCTCGGGTTGAGACGGTGATGTGACAATCATGCTCATGTAGCATCCCAGAAATTACGTAGAAAATTGGCGAGGGAAATTGGCGGGGACCGAGATTGGTACCAGGGGGTACCCCTAGAAGCATACGGTTTATCATTATTGTCCCTAGTAACATGACAATTTTTGGGTATACCACATTTTCAAACACACCCATATTAGAGAATATAACTCTACAGTATAGACTATACATAACTCAAAAAAAGATCTACTGTTTTCAGGAATCATTCCAGTATCTCGCCTCAGTCGTTGAGCAATTCCAAGAAATGCATCAGTGTTGGCTGCAGGAGCGCAGTGGAATCAAACATGCCTATAACACACAAAAAAACAAACAACATACAAATATATATATATATAGTTATAGAAACAACACACACAAACAAAAAAAAACATACATGTATATATAATTATAGAAACAACAAACACACACACACAAAAAAAAACATACATGTATGTATAATTATAGGAAAACTCACAAAAAAAACAACAAACAACATATATATCTATATATATATATATATTAAAAAAAACACAAAAATAACAACATACATGTATATATATATATATATAATTATAGAAACAACAAACACACACAAAACAAAACGAAAACAAGAAAAACAACATACATGTATATAAAAATATATATATATATATATATAGAACTATAGAAACAGCACACACACAAAACAACAACAAAAACAAAACAACATACATGTATATATCGTTATAGAAACAACACACACAAAACAAAAAAAACATGCATTTATAATTACATAGACACATATTTTATCAAATCAAGATGTGCATGTACAGCAACATTGGATGGTTTGCAGCCAATGAACCAACATCTACGGTCCTATGAATCGTTATTTAAATGTTGTCCAATATCAATCTCCATGTTTCCCAATTGCTCCCCAATTTTGTTAGTAATAAAATCACATATTATCTTAGTTTGTTAGATCCCATTTTATTGTGGTTGAACCAACACCTTTAACTTGGTCCATGAGTAAAATCTTGGGTTTCTATGAGCTTTCAAGATCTTTCAAGTTAAGTATTTACCAGCCCTTCTACCAATATTCCCATTATAGTCCCATCAAATTCCTATTATACCACCATTATTTCCACCATTATACCAACCCTTATACCACTCAACGACTTTTCAGATATTCGCAAAGAAATAGGTCAAACTAAACCAATCTCAGAGGGGAGACTGTTGCCATCAAACCCCAGGTCACCCTATACCCAGCAGTTCTTCCAACCATGGCTTTACACAACTGGGGGGCTTGCCTTGACATACCAAACATGGAGAACCTGGGCATCGCATTTGGAAATTCAAAGTATATCACTGTTCAATAGTCTTGCTCAAAAATGATTGGCGATCCAATCTCATCACACCATTTTACAAGCGCTATCATTTGATTTGATTTATATACCCCATTAATTGTATATACAGCCCAAGTTTTGTAGTTATAAACCACCTTATCTGACTATAAGGCACCACCTTGTACGAATACATGATCCACAACGTTTAACGTCTATCCAGCGCGTCACCTCCTGTGTCAAGCTTCATGGGCACTACACTGAACTGAATGTCCGCCAGTTGCCATCCACTCCTGACGTGGCAAGAGAGCTAGGTATCTGTAGAGCAGTACCCATCCACCTGGTGCTAAGTAAGTCTAGCTTACTGGATAACCAAGAAAATCGTCCACAAGACTAAACCGTTATATTTCCACCCAGTCATGTTTGGTGAAACTAAGAAGGTATTCCATTTTTCCCACCCGTATTTTCGTAGTGAAATTGATATTAAAAAGCACCAAATGGCTATGAGTCAAAACCCTGGCGCCCTAGAATGGCTGATTAATGGACCTGTATACCCTGGAATGCCAAATCTTGGCTGATTGATGATATTTAACTAGGTCAATCTTAGATGGGTCGTTTAATCCCTTTAGTTTTTTAAAATTGTACCAATGCGATGATCTACTAACCAGCTAAGTTTTTTTTGCAGGGTATCTAAGATTGGCCATGTCAATAGGTGTTCACCCATCCCCAAATGTGGGTCTTTGAACTTTGCAAAAGTTGTCAAATTTTCCCCAACTCGAGCCCCTTCTGAACCGCACAGAAAGCCTGTCACAATTCACCATCCACTCATCATCCAAGGGCGGTGCAGTACCGTCCTTGCCGGGGCATTACAACCATGGCCCTAGGCGCTCTACGTTGGTGGCCGTGAACTGGCAAATATGGCTCATCGAGTTCGATGATTTACCTAAAAAAAAAAGGTGATTCTCCAGAGTTACCTTCGTTTACTGGAGAGTAAACCTCATCTAACATCTAGCTACATGTAATCACCACAAACCCGACACTTAACTTCGTTATAAACCAACTTTGCTGACTTTGGAGCCATGCCTTTTATAGGTCAAAAAACTGATACCGTCGTGTTGAAACCAAAATAGTTGGTATCACTGGACAATAAAGTACGCCAACCTGTCTTTGGATGCGGTATTTTTCTTGCGGTAGTTGTCATTTCTTCCCTCCTGTCTTTTTGAATCTGAACTCAAATTAATTCAAATCATATATCCAGGTCCTGAATTTCCATGTTTTCTTTACACTGTGTTTCAACATGTTTCAACACTGCCTCCCAACAAAAGACTCGCAGTCAGACTGTAGCCCTGACCCACCTCAGAGACACCAAAAAAGTCACGCAAATTTCTGGGATTTGGGGTGAATACCCTCTGGTTATGTCAAAATGGCTATTGAAAATTGCCATTTATAGCGGATTTATCCATCAAAAATGGTGATTTTCCATAGCAAACTGTTAGTTTACCAGAGGGTACTTGAATCAAATATCACCATTTGTGAGCGGTGTTCAAAGCCCAGCGCCGTCCCTTCCAACTGCCTGGTTAATAGGGATTCCCTATTTATGAATCATTTTATATTATAATAATCCCCAATATATCGGGTGATATAGTCCCCGAAGTGTTCATCAATCCACCGTCATTTATCAATTAGATAATATGTTCCACTTTTTGATGGTTAACACCACCATCAAAAATGGTTGAGTCACCATTAACTAACTAGTCATCAACCAACTGCTCAGTTTATAATTCGAGATGGTTTTTCATTCTGATATATCCTGTTTTGTCCCAAAAATGGATCCCTATACATATGTGTATATATATATATATATGTGTATTCCTATTGTTGTTGGTTAAACTGCTCACTGCTCATTTCAACCCTACAGCTGCACGGCGCAAACAATCGCGCCGCCTCTGTCTGACGATATGCGAGGCTGAAACCTGAAGGAGCAAGCGGTGTGAAAGTGAGGTGTCTTGTGAAATGGAAAATCATTATAATCATTGTATAATTAATGTGCTTACCGTATGATTTACCCAAATGACAAATGATAATCCCATGGGTTGTATGCCCATTACTTTCTTAATTGGGGATTAATGCAAATACAATGGGGATGTATTGTCTAATGGGGATTCTTAATGGGAACATGGAATTTGCGAATTCAAAACTATACTATAGTAAGTACCAACTCATTGGAAACGTATCACATATATATTCACGTGAAATGCGCAATATGGATCGTGTAATTTTGATCTGTTTTATTGGAATAAATCATTGGAATAAATCATGGAATATCTTCGGGACGATGAGGATTTTGGTGAAAAAATTACCTTCCCAACCATCGGCCAAATCATGGATTTACTGGTAATTTGGTACAGTTTGCTACTGAAAAATGGCCATTTAGTGGGTTGATTTACCCACGAAAAAGCTAAAAGGTCATGTTCCACAGCAAACTGTTAGCTTACCAGAGGGTATGTAGCCCCCAATTGAGAGATCTGGCTTATCAAAAATCAACATTCATAAATTCATAATAGGTAAATTATCATAAATCATCTATAAATCATGGTGATTTTCATGGGAATAGCCTCCGTTGTCATCAAAGATGTCCAGCTGGTAAATCCATGATTTACATGGGCATTAAATGGGCGGTTCATCTGTCATTGGGGGATTTCCATTGGTGTCTTTGCGTACCAAGTACAGGATCTTTAATGTCAATCCGACATGACAATACTTCACTTAGTATACCCAAACCCACATATTTACATAGGCTATCTCCCTGCATTTTCCTTTTTCTCAGACATATGTATATATATATGTATCATATCACATATATATATATATATATTATAAGTACATATACAATACATTAGTTTGATGGTATGGCAAAATAATCAACACGGTTGATTGCGCTGGAAACATTTGGGGAAGCTATGAACCTGTCCAAATCTACAAGCACAAGTACATACTGGTAAATAGATATAGAAACTACCTATCATATCTACACTAAGATGTACAAGTTCACTCTGTGATTATCATTGATTCGTCCCTGTATAATCCGAGATAGATAAATGTCGGTGGTTTATCTACATATATATATATGGATATATATATATATATGTATGGTATAATAAAACATATTATATAACTATAACTATAATATATCTCTATGATCCATGGGTCAATATTCGCACCAAAAAGATCAATGCTACTGGAAAACAAGTACCGCGTAGACCTTGGAAAATATTGACCGTTTCACTTGCTGAAACAAACACATTTGAGGGTAAATGGCAATACATATATTAACCTGTTTTATATCTACAAAATACTTTATATATTACAATAAATAGCAAGTCATCACTTGAGCCCATGAATACTCCCTATCCTATCTCATCATATTAGTTGATTGCTAGGTATCCCTATGGATGATACTTAATAATATCAAAATCACCAATAATAACCTAGGTAGTGGAATAACCAATAGCCAATCAACCATCATGTACCGATTAATCCCCATGCTTCAGGGTTGTAAACCTTATAGATGATGGTTAAATCACCATTGAAAACTCAGTAGGGTGCATGCTTGGTGGTTCATCCCACTTAGTAAGTGGGTTATAACCCCAGTTATAAGTGGATTAACCCTACTTATCCCATGTAAATCACTGGGGTTATAACCCACTTACGATTCGTGGGATGAACCACCAAGTACGTCGATACTAACCAGTGATCTGTGGTTCCAAATCGATCTGCAGCGATCGTAAAACTGAGCCACCAGGCCTTGGGAACACAGCAAAGGGCTGATGATCCACTTCTTTCCAGTCCTTGGAGAGGGAAACTGAAACTGAAACTGGTTGGTGGTTTCAACCCCTCTGAAAAATATGAAAGTCAGTTGGGATGATTATTCCCAATATATGGAAAAAAGAAAATGTTCCAAGCCACCAACCAGTGTGAGAATATGAGAGTATAACTATGGCAAAAAGTAACATGCAATATTGCAACATATATATATATATGCATATAAATACATGATTGTGTCAAGACATGGGAATACCCCAAGAAGAAAAAATAAGATCAACGATCAACGGGGTACCATTGGACCATATTTTCAAACGAAATTAAAAACATATCAACCCCGGGATAAACCCAGGTACACATAGAGATTACTTTTTATAGGTTCCTCCAACTAGTGATACATTTCTTGCTGAGGTAGTACAACTCCAGTTAGACAACATAGGTCCTCATTTCCGAGGTTGGAACTTGACAAAACAGTGCCTAAATGTCCCTATATATACACCTACATAGAAGAGTATACAGTATTCCTTGGTATGTACATTAATAATCATCCTCAATCATCCTTAAACACTATTTCTTGTGTGAGATCATACTCCTCAAGATATATGCCCCCTCAAAAAGGTTGCTTACCCGCCAACAGAACTGAAACGTTCATCTTCGTTGGGAGGTCGGGGCCCTTGGGACAGCGTCAGAAGAAGACAGCGCCGCAAAGACGTTCTGAGTGCATCCTTCTCAGTGTATGTACCCTCTGGTAATTTAACATACCTATTGAAAATGGCCATTTATAGTGGATTTTCCCATGAAAAAAGGTGATTTTCCATAGTTATGTTAGTTTACCAGAGGGTACCCACACACACATGTTCATGAAGTAGGCCGCACAGCCAGTCATCTCCTTCTTCGTGACCAGCGTATGCGCTATTCTACGCGCGTCTGCGGTGGAAGCACCATTGATAATCTCGGGTCAGGGGCTACCAACGAGATGGATCCAGCCACAACTGCGTGGACAGGTGCTGAATTGTGCTGACACATGTTGTTTAGTTGATTCTGAATGGATAAGTCCATGACCAAAACCAAGCCCCCGCATGGCTACGGATGGCTACGGTACCGACCGTAGCCTTCTCTGAGCTATTGAACCACAACTATTCCGAAAGTTTCTTCAAGAAACACATGGATAATTTGAATCTACAAGTAGGTGAAGTAAGTGTTAAATAGCCCCCAAATAGTCAAAACGAAATTTGGTAATCTTGTTTAACTTCATCTGTTTTTTGGATCACAGAATTCCAAAGGAATCATGGTTTCTTCAGCCGCTACAAGGTGGTGCTTTTCAGCACGTTGGTCTTTTTGACCCCATCAAACTTTACTTATGGGACCAATGGGAACCAACTTATGTGGGATTTATGTGGCTTTAGTCGGTCTAACGGTTATATCCTTAATCCTAATTATAAAACCACTGAGCTCACTACGGGGCCCCTGTAGCATACTGGGACTTAAAGTACAAACCAGAGTCTTTGACCTCTTGCAATTGGGATGATCCGCAACCGCCACATGGCCTTTGTAGTTCCAAGAGTCTGTCCAATGCCACAACGAGGACCTGAAGTTCCGCAACGAAAGACGCGAAAGACACGAAAGACTGGAGTGAGTTCCGCAAAATACATAGCTTGAGTTTGGCTGTATCCATGCTAATCCCATAGTAATTCTGCATGATGCAAATTATCAACCATTCCGTAAGTATATCAAAAACGTAGATATATGTCAAAGCCAATTGTATACATGACTCTCCCGTGATTGATATTGTGTGAGATTTGTTTGCTATTCAAGTCGTTGGGGGGTTATGCGGGCAATAATCATGACTACCAAGATCACAGAACCCCTGATGCTTGATGTATATGGGAAAAGAAAACAACAGAAAACAACAACATTCAAATCGGTATGGGTCAAAGCTGAAGTTCGTCATTGTGCTCCGAGAAGTATGCATACCAATGGGATAATGGCTCAACCATGGGTTTAGATCTAAACTTAGCAGAACAGCTTAAGCCTATCCCATTCTTGTGAAAACAATCCAATCATTACTCGGCTATGCTGGATACACGTTGAAAACATCTACTGTGCGGACAAAAACAAAACATCCTATAAGGCAGGGCCCCCAAACAATAGCTAAGCTGGTTTATAAGGTCAACTGTGGTTCATGGACGTTCAACGGTAGATATATCTGGAGTCCAGAGCAAATAGTGGTTAAAAACCAACAAACATAACTGGGGGGCCCTTGTATCTACTTGGAGGTGAACAAATCTTACTTTACAGTATAGCTATGTATAGTTGAAAAATATAGTTCATGAGACTAACAAACAGTTTGCAGTTTGCAGGATGTTACAGATACCTTTCATCAGAAAATGTGCAAGTTTCAATCAATGGGAAATTCAGGATCCGAAAATGGAGGTACGTTAGTACCATATTTCAGGCCATATTTTGTAGGGATATTCCCTGAAATTTAGGCCTTATATAGGCCTTATATATGGAATCGGTACCTCCAATGAATCGGCATCGATGCTTCTGTCGTGGCATCACCTGCAGCCCGGTTACCATGGTAGAGATAGTTGCCCCTCAATGACCTGACGTCAGATTCGAGTGGCTACGCCAAGATTCGTGGGGCCCCTTGCAGGAGGAGTGGGGCAATTTATTGCATTGAAAAACACATGAGAAAGGGGATATGTGAGGTGTGTCAATTAGGAATGATAGGCATTCATATACAATATGTATAATATATATATAAATATATATAGTCAAATTAATATCGATCTAATCGGACATACATATATATATATATTATATAACTGGTTGATATTCTTTATAACATAATTTGAATGATGTTGTGGCAGTATGGTATCAATTAGGAATGATCAAATCAACATTATGAAGAAAAACATCATGTAAATACGACAATAGTATATTCAATGAGGATAGCAGTCAATAATACTTGTACATGATACCAAAGTTAATAATACAAGTTAATTATACATCTGATTTTGTGACAGCAGTTAATAGTTATGATACCATGAACAATTTTTTATAACACACCAAAATCACAAAAAAAAACATTGTGATTCATGGGGATATCATGGGATATTGGAGTGTGACCATCATGGAGTGAATTTCCGTGGTTCAAAATGTGACCATCGAAATGTCTCATGTGTCGGTCAAAGCCCATGTTTTTCTTTGGTGAAATGTACACTTTACAACAGTGGTTTATCATTGCCAATCTTAGATACCCTGCAAAAAATGAACCCAATTCCTTGCTGGTGAACGTAGATATTCCCATTAATACCAAAAGACTAGTTAGGATCAATACGTATCCATGTAAGATTGAGCTAGTATATACAAGGTGGTGCCCCCCAGTTATATAAATGGCTTATAGTCCCATGAAAACTATCGATATATCACCAAAATCCAGTGGTCAAAATGATGGTCATCACTGCCAAAATGATGCTCATCATCGTAGCAAGGCCATGCGGGGCCAGAAACGGTGGTGAAAAAATTACCATGGTTATACCATCGCCAATCGGCAAACCCCGATCAAAATGGCAAAAGGCTAAGCTGTACCAAACTACTCAAGCAAGGTTGGTCCTAGGTCCAATTCTTGTACATCTAACAGTGCCCATGGGTGCCCTCAAATTATCTGAATTTCATGGTAGTATTGATGGGGAACACATTGGAAACTGATAAACCAGTGAATCAAGGTATCCACCATGTTTGGACAAATCCATATCTGAAAGCCACACTATAATCATCATCTGAAATAAGGCCAGCTGGGAAGGCTTCTCTTTACTACAGTAACCCACAGTTATGGTGAGGTCATTGTGATGTCTAAAATAGAGATATATGATATATTCATTACTACTCTCAACAAGCAAACATCGACAACAACCCCAAGGTAGTTGTTGTATCATCCTATTGAAATCGTAATTATTGGAAAATGACTTTTAGTTTTTTGGTGGAATGCTATAATTTACCCTCTGGTAAACTAAAATAGCTATGGAAAGTCACCATTTTTAATGGGAAAACTCACTATAAATGGCCATTTTCAATAGCTATGTTAGTTTACCAGAGGGTATTGGGAACAACCAGTTTGTCAGTCATCTGCACAGTTCATTCGGACGCCAATCCAGGGGGTTGAATCTGACAGAGATGGCAGTGTGATCTCTTAGCTTTTGGACGGGTAGATACGTACCCGGATTGATACTTAGCCGCATACTGCTACGTTTCTGTGCCAAAAATTTTACTTCTACACTTGTTTCCAACTTTGTCCTCAATTTGCGCTAGCTATTCCTTTTCGCAAAACTTGGCCTCCTTCCAATCACGGATACACAAAAACAACAAGAGTCATTTTTTCGCAGCGGGTTCTTCTGGTTGTGACAACAGCACACGTACACAGTTGTGGGTACATGTTTGGGTGTTTGAATCAAGTGAACATGATCCTTGAAACTGTACGTCAGTATACCATAATAATGTGGGGAGCATTTGTGATTATGACCGATTTTTACAATAGTTAAACCACGTTGAACCCATATCAACAAAGTTTCTGCTTATTAAATCGAGATTTTAGTGTGTGCTGTGGCCATATTATGTCGGATTTGCTTAAGCCACCTCGAAAACAGAAATAGGTCCCGTAGCTTCTTCGGTTTTAGTCAATTACATATGCATATATACATGTATATATACATATATATATAATATGTATATATATATATATAAATATTGTATGTATATATATATATATACCGTACTGCACATTGTGACCATTATAGACGTCATCTTCCGCAAATCCAAGTTACTATTGGTTTCGCCCCATCATAGCAGCTGTTTCACCAGATTCTGTTGGCAAAATGCAAATTTTATTGAAAATGAATAATGGCTAGGCTAAACCCCTGCGCATCATTGTACACTATTTAATGTGTTGAAACAACCTTTCGTATCCTTTCAGAGGTTTTCTGAAATGGGGGTACTCCAAATTCATCTAATTTTCTAGGATTTTCCACTATAAACTTATAAACCATCCATTTTGGGATACAGGTCGAATCCCGTCAACCAAATGCAAAAAAGGTAACAGTGGGAGCCAGGGGGAGCTCTTCGTATCGCGGGCGGTCAAAGTATGTTTGACCGAATCCAAGCAGACGATCAGTGCATTCACGAACCCTTTCCTTGAAATGGCAGAAGATCTGATCGCACGGCTGCCCTTTGGCTGACCATCCACCAGGCTGCGCACACGGCAACTCTACGTTGCAAGCCTCAGACCATCGGAGACGACGGGCATCATGGCCCTTTGTTTCTGAGTGGCTGCCTGTAAAGGCATCACAAACCAGCAATCCACGATGCTCCATGCCCAGGTTCAGCTTGAACGCGTGAGAGTAGAGATTTTCGTAGAGGTTGACCACTGTCTCTGCATTGAACATATGAGTTTCAGAGGAATTCATGATGAAGAGGGCTTTCCCCAAGAACTGCTTGTTCAATTCCTGGATCAACTTCCCTGGAACAGCCTGGTGAGCGACGCTTATGGCGATGGGACCTGATGTCCCATCACCCCATATGGAGCCACAAAAGGTGAAACTCTTTCTGCCTCAGATCTGATGTATGGAAACCAGCTTTCGTATGGCAGTTTTCATGCTGAGCATTCCTTGCCCCCAAGCGCTTTGCCCAGGCGCTTGAACAGAGGCGCTCCGTTGTCCGTCTCACCCTGCAGCTGGAAGACCTGGGGCTGGAGATACCTGGCATCCTGCCAGCTATAGTAAAAGATAGAAAAGTAAAATCCGGCTCAATTCATAGTGCGGTGAATAATGGGAATATCATATGTTGTACTATTATGTACTGGGACATAGAGCAACTTGAGAGTGTGAAAATCGAGTAAACCCCCAAAACCGCAAAACCACAACCAATATCACGTGCCATTGGCAAACACAATGACTCGCGTACTCATACTCAATAAATTTGAATGACCAAGCCCCAACATCAAATCCTGCTGTCATCACAATATCCGACTGTCAAGGTCAAGCAATAATGTCCTGTAAAACTAGAGGGGCCGGTTTGGTATACCATCTATCATCATTTATATGTTGTGAAAGGGGTAGTTTCAAAACCCTCTTTTTTCATCAACCAACCAATGGGAATTTGGGACATCTATGAGGTCAAGTGACGTCATTCATCAAGGCCTTTCGCGAGCTGCAGAGTGGGCTGGTGATTTGAATCGTCTTGTTGACACGGTCGAAGATGCTCCCTGCTACCACCTCCTCAGGTTGGGATTCTCGTCGTTCTCGTCCCAAAAAATGGGGGTACCCCAATAGCTGAACCGGAAAATCCATGGAAAATCCATGATAATCCTATCAAAATGGGGGGACCATCATTATTTTCCATGATAACCTGTCAATTTTAATAGGATACCTCCACATTGTTTCCAAATTTTACCCCCCATGGATTGGACACTGCACAGGTTTCCAAGATGAAAACTGAAAACTGATGAACACTATACCTATCACACTCATACTTCCAGCTTTGCAACTTTTATGATTGCTATATAACTACTTGCATTCAACAATTACTACTTCCTTATAACGGCCAAACTTAGATACCCCGCAAAAAAAAAGTTCTTGTGTTTCGTAGCCGGTTGTTATATCCAATTATAGCAAACGACTTAAAAGCTAAAGTGCCTAGTACTCAAGCTTGGTTTCTCCAGTTCCATTAGATATATCCTTTCTTGTTGCTTGAAACCCAATAAAAATTGCTGGAAAAATCCCCTATGCTGAGTGGTGAACACATCCAATTCTTGGCCTTTGCCCAATATCCTATTTCGTATTCCCATGATGTTGCCATTGATTGTTGCTTAATCCCTCTTTTTGATACATGGTTGAATGGTTCAAGTGTTTTTTTTTAAATTTTGCGGTAGTTAAACCACTGCATCAACCCGTTGAGCCATTAGATATACCTCTACCCGATCTCATTATATAATTATAGTCGCCAACATTCAAAAACCAGGTAGGATTAAACTCTAAACTCCATATATAACTCCTGAATCAATCACCAATATCACCAATCAAGAAGGCCATTCTTTGTGGCTCAGTTCCGATGGGCGTTTCCACCTTGAAACATGGCAGGTCCAAGGCTCTCCAACGATGGGTGAAAAGTTCAACCTCAGCAAATTGCCAGGCTGGGCTGCCAGAACGCCAAGGTCGTAGCGGTGGAACTCCAGGGTGGAAAACCCTAGAACAATTAACATTTAAACACCAAATGACAAATGAGGGTTTTAATGGGAATTATAGTTTATTTAGGATAGCCAAGTTGGTTGAAAAAAACATAACATCAAATAACTCACTCCACTAAGTGTTGGGTTTATGGATGTTGATGATAAATATCCAGTTACTTTGGTTTATAGCCACCAGTTCCATAACTCCGGGGCACCACCTTTTTGGTATGCAGAAAACAGGTTTTTTCCAAGCACCCAAGGTACGTTTGGGGGAATAAATTGATGTAAATTGGACAAATATAGCGGTAAAATAATGATTTTACAACCCTTGTGGCTATCATTGGAGCAACCAAAACATGGAGGCATCAACTGAATCGACCAAAAACAATTTTGCGATTTATAGGTGATTGACGATAGCTACGTTGGTTAACTAGGTTCATTATATGATGTATGGTTGTATGAACTGGTTGTATAAATGGGTTGACCAAAAAACTGGGGCAGCAATTCGAAATAATACATCATCTTTCCATCCTGATGCAGAGTGGTGATATCCCTGGAGCGGTAAATTCCCCGTTACAACCCATTAAAAAACCTCAGATGTATTGGCGAATTCCTCCAGTTTTTCTTAGTTGAATCCTCTGTACAAGAGTCTTGTTTGATTACCAAAGGGTACGTATCCCCATCAAACAAAATTAAATTGCTGGATGGATTCCCAATTTTTAAATTTATAACTACCATCGAAAACCAACATGAAACAGATTACAACCGCATATGTATGAAATCCATATATTCAAAAGAAAATGGTTGTGACTGAAAATGGTGTAGATGTATACCCTCCAAATGGCAATGGAGAAATACGATGATGATGCAAAATCATTTTTTGCGGCATCTGATTTGAATCAAAACCATACAGTAATATAACGCCCAAATAAAACCATATAAAAACAAAGGAAAACTATGAAAAACAGAAAAAACGCATATAAAACTATAAAACCCATATAAAACCACATTAAACCCATTTAAGAACAACTTAGATCCTTGGGAATGGTGACTTCTCCATCCTCACCCGACTCAGCCAAGCCGAGGGACTTGATCCTGGGAGAGCAAGTTTGGGTATGTAAAACCGGGAAATGGTTTCTGAATGGTCCTGGTTAATATATGTTAATAAATGTTAATATCTATGTTAATATATGTTAATATATGTTAATATATGTTAATATACATGTTAAAATTATGTAAATATGTATATGTTGATATAAATATCAATATATAATATGTCAATATATGTTAACAAATATTAATATATGTTCATACATTTTATATTTGCTAATATATGTTCATATTGTGTAAAACAAATGTCAAATGCTAAGAGATGTTAATATATGTTAATATATGAACACATATGTTAATATATGGTAAAATTGTGTTATACTAACATATGCTAATATATGTTAGTATGTGTTAATATGTTAATATATGCTCATACATGTTAATCTAGGTTAAACATATATTAATGTATGTAAAAATATATGTTAATATATGTTCATATTATGTTAATATGTGTAAGTATATGCTAATATACACACATATATACTAATAAAACAGACATAATATGTTATTCCCACATCTTTGTGTGGGGTTCTTGTTTTTGGTTCTGTATCCCGCCTCCGCCTCCTCCCGCTCCCGCTCCCGCCACTTGTACTCCCACAACTTGTCCACTCGCAACTTGGCCTCACACAACTTGCTCTCACACAACTTGTCCACACGAAACTTGTCCACACACAACTTGTCCACACACAACTTGCTCACACACAACTTGTCCTCACACAACTTGTCCACACACAACTTGCTCACACACAACTTGTCCTCACACAACTTGCTCACACACAACTTGTCCACACACAACTTGTCCACACACAACTTTGTCACACACCTTGTCCACACACAACTAGCTCACACACAACTTGTGCTCACACAGCTTGCTCACACACACAAACAACTTGTCCACACACAACTTGCTCACACACAACTTGTCCTCACACACAATGCTCACACACAACTTGTCCACACTCAACTTGTCCTCACACAACTTGTCCGCTCACAACTACTTGTCCACACACAATTTGCCTTGCTCACACACAACTCAACTCACAGACAACTTGCTCACATATCACACATACAACTTGTCATCATATAACTTGCTCACACACAACTCAACTCACACAAAACTTGCTCACACATACATCTTGTCATCATACAACTTGCTCTCACACAACTCAACTCACACAACTTGTCATCACACAACTTGTCCACACGCAACTTGCCTTACTCATACATTACTCATACACACACACACGTGTCATCACACAACTTGTCCACACGCAACTTGTTCACACACAACTTGTTCACACACAACTTCCTCACACACAACTTGTCCACGCACAACTTGCTCACACACAACTTGTCCTTCCTGACATCCACCTTCGTGCCAGGCGTGGCACTTGGCGACATCCACCTTCGTTTCACGTGGCAGGCGTGGCACTTGGTCACATCCATATTCGTTTCACGCCAAAAATAATCCCAAATAGAGGTCTATTATTGGGTATACCCCTATGACTGGGACGATGTCCAATGACCAGTCTTGAGATAGTAACCTGCAACAAACCAAAAGATATAAAAGAGTCAAATCCTACTGAAATGGAAGTCTCTTAAACTGAGGGTACCCTCAGTTCTCATCCATTTTAACAGGATTTTCCATTATGAACCATCCATGTTAGGGTACCTCCATTTATGGAAACCCCCAAATATGAGCAAATTGTGATAATTCACGAACCTGAAATAAATAAGGCTAATATTGGGATCATTCCAATTACTACCCATCATAACCACCCAGATAAACAGGGCATCCAGCCATTAGGAAACCCAAACCGTTTTCATCGGGACACTTGGAGAGTCCAGGATATGATTTTTTCGATCTTCAAATCCTCAAACTCCATCATCCATATGAAAACTTGGTTGCTTCCCAGTTCCTGGATGATTAACCATATATATATACATATGGATAGTATGTATGGGCATGATATGATGAAAAATAGCAATGGAATATATTGAATATGTATATATATATATATCCAATAGTTTTGATGATTAAACATATATGGATGATTTAACATGATTATGCCAAAACTATTGGATAGTATGATTCCCCCAATCATCAATGAACATCTTGAACGCTGCACCAGGCAGCCCACCATCCCCAACCAGGCTGCTGTTTCCAACCGTCGTTTCGGCAATCCATGTACCACTTATCCGACGCTGGCGGCCTTGAGGGGGGAAAACATGGCAGAGTTTGGGTGCGTTTTCTTCACCCCAACTGGGAGTAACTGCATCCTGAACTAAGTACTTGGTGGTTAAGCTACCAATAAGTGGGAGAAGTAAGGTTAATCCACTTATAACCAAGGATATAACCTACTTAGAAAGTGAGAAGAACCACCAGGTAAGGACCATGAAGGAACCCCCTGCCACATGTTTTTTCACCTGACACTTGTCCACGGCGTCACGTATACTTTGATAGTCTTTGATCCCTGGAGCTGGCAAAATGGTGAAGGATGATCCACAAATCATGACTGGTTATATATATATATATAAATATATATAAGCACCGTTGCTTCATACCTTTTGACCCCTCAAATTGCAACACATGTTTATGCCAGCAGGGGGGAAAACCGCGCCAACGTTTTGGCCGTTTTCGAAAACACACATATTTTATCCGTCACATGCACATTCACGTTACGTCACTGGGTTCGGGGGGTGGGGATGTTAACGTTCATGTTAACTTGCGTCACATGCAGGTCTGACGTTACGTCACTGGGTTGCGGGGGGTGGGGTGTTAACGTTCATGTTAACTTGCGTCACATGCACATCTGACGTTACGTCACTGGGTTGGGGGGTGGGGATGTTAACGTTCATGTTAACTTGCGTCACATGCACATCTGACGTCACGTCACTGGATTGGGGGGTTGGGGATGTTAACGTTCATGTTAACTTGCGTCACTTGCACATCTGACGTTACGTCACTGGGTTGGGGGGGTAGGATGTTAACGTTCATGTTAACTTGCGTCACACGCACATCTGACGTTACGTCACTGGGTTGGGGGGTTGATGCGATGTGGCGACTATCTAAGTCTGCCATACCATGGAGTCTCTCGCCCAGATCCAACGGCCATGTTAACCCAAAATTGATGCGAAGCATCAGGGTGTGGCAATGGCGATGGACGAACTCCAAGACCAAGAGTCTTTTGGAGCTCACTGGTCGCGCCTTGAAGAACCGTATGGCAATGTAAGGGGGAAAAAAATAGCGCGCACCTTTTCAGGAACAAATTCCCTGTAAATTACAGGTCATCATCAAAAAAACACTTCAAATTCCCAGGGAATTTTAAGCCTACGAGTACCAGACTTGACACCCTGCTTTCGTAATGTAATAGATGCCCCAACTCATGATCAGGATGGAATGTGACATTCCCCTGATTAATGCACGTATGGCATCATGCAATACACCAGGCGCCAGTCCAAACGGATTCTGGCTCAAGTCGACGAATTCAAGCAGAAGCATGGCGGCCGCTGTCTGTAGTGGTTCGGGGATGCTTCCGTCCCAGGCCCTGACATCACGTCCAAACCACAAAAGTCTGCGCTGCAGTCCGCGTAAAAGGTTTCCAATGACCAAAGTAGGCGTGCAACAATAAATAGAGTCCCCGAGCGTAAAAGGAAAAAGCGTCGACGCATACAGCCCAAAGATGTGCTTGACCAAATGGTGAAACACAATCTGGAAGACGAATTGTTCCATTGAGCCTGTTCCCAGGACAACACGGTCTTTTGGAGCGTTTTCTTCAGCCCAACTGGGAGTAACTGCATCCTGAACTAAGTACTTGGTGGTTAAGCTACTTATAAGTGGGAGAAGTAAGGTTAAAGGATATAACCTACTTAGTAAGTGGGAAGAACCACCAAGTAAGGACCAAGGACCCCCCTGCCACATGTTTTTTCACCTGACACTTGTCCACGGCGTCACGTATACTTTGATAGTCTTTGATCCCTGGAGCTGGCAAAATGGTGAAGGATGATCCACAAATCATGACTGGTTATATATATATAAGCACCGTTGCTTCATACCTTTTGACCCCTCAAATTGCAACACATGTTTATGCCAGCGGGGGGAAAACCGCGCCAGCGTTTTGGCCGTTTTTGAAAACACACATATTTTATCCGTCACATGCACATTCACGTTACGTCACTGGGTTCGGGGGGTGGGGATGTTAACGTTCATGTTAACTTGCGTCACATGCAGGTCTGACGTTACGTCACTGGGTTGCGGGGGGTGGGGTGTTAACGTTCATGTTAACTTGCGTCACATGCACATCTGACGTTACGTCACTGGGTTGGGGGGTGGGGATGTTAACGTTCATGTTAACTGCATCACCTTCAAACTGACGTTGCGTCATGGTTTGGGGGGGTGGATGTTAACGTTCAGGGTCAACGTGGTCACATGCAGGTTCTGACGTTGCCACTGGGTTGGGGGGGTGGGGATGTTAACGTTCATGTTAACTTGCGTCACATGCACGTCTGACGTTACGTCACTGGGTTGGGGGGGTGGGGATGTTAATGTTCATGTTAAATTTCGTCATATGCACATCTGACGTTGCGTCACTGGGTTGGGGGGGTGGGGATGTTCACTTTCATGTTAACTTGCGTCACACGCACATCTGACGTCACGTCACTGGGTTGGGGGGTTTGATGCGATGTGGCGACTATCTAAGTCTGCCATACCATGGAGTCTCTCGCCCAGATCCAACGGCCATGTTAACCCAAAATTGATGCGAAGCATCAGGGTGTGGCAATGGCGTTGGACAAACTCCAAGACCAAGAGTCTTTTGGAGCTCACTGGTCGCGCCTTGAAGAACCGTATGGCAATGCAAGGTGGAACAAAACACCGCGCACCTTTTCAGGAACAAATTCCCTGTAAATTACAGGTCATCATCAAAAAACCACTTCAAATTCCCAGGGAATTTTAAGCCTATTTTGGGGAATGAATCAGTAGTTTCGCTATGGCGAAAACGACATCTTTTTTCAAAACGCTCAAAACGCTGGCACGGTTTTCCCCCCGTCGGGATGTTTATGTTGCCAAAGAGAGTTGAAATTGCCTAAATTCAAGATTCCGCCTTCAGGCGGATTTTCTGCCCGAATCATTGTTCAAGCTGACAAAACAGATCAGGCTGAAATTCGAGCTCAAATGAAATTTAAGGTGTATATATATATATATGTCTATCTATCTGGTTGGTTTGAACCCCTCTGAAAATATTTGTCAGTTGGGGTTATTCTTCCCAATATATGGAAAAATCAAACATGTTCCATCTAAACCACCAACCATATATATATATATATATATATTTAAAATGTGACTTACTCCTCGGGCATGTCCCGTTAGTCCCATCCAGGCACCTTGTGGGATCTTCAGATACCTCAGGCGGTGATGGAAGCTCCCATCTACAATAATTCAATATGACTAAATATCAATGGTTGTGTATGTGTAAACATATATATATATATATATATATAATTATTTGTATAGCATATATCATATCACAACATAATAATAATAATAATATATAGACTGATGAGAAAAATAAAATGCCCACATGTCAGTACATATGCATTCATATAGAGCAACCCAGAAGCAGAGGCAGAAAACTGCTGAATGCTATAGAATCTACTACCCTCCGCGAGTTCATAAGAAAAATCAGCTGTCCATGCCCAGTTTGAGCGGTTCGATCCTGGTGTTGGATACATCCTGAAGGATCTAGATGTCTATATAAAGCTGGTTGGTGGTTGACCTACCCCTCTGAAAAATATGAAAGTCAAATCGGATGACTATTCCCAATATATGGAAAAATAAAAAATGTTCCAAACCACGAACCAGAAAGAGATATGTATATCTAGAAATAACTATGTATATCTAAACATGTGTATACACACCACTGGATACGTATGCATATAGTATGTTTACATATTGTAGATCATACAAATCACAAAACTCATGCACTCTTTTACGAATCATCCTGACTACATCGCCACTTGTGTTCATTGTTCCCAGTCTTTGCAACTGATGCAAACTTGTGTGCACCAAATGTTCACTTCAGACCCCATCCAGTCATGCTGGTTCTAAGTCCCCATGCCGGACATAGCACCAATTGTCACTCAAAGGTGCCTGTTGCATCTTTGTCACATCGTAATATCATATAATAATAACACTAATAAAAACAACAATAGTAATGATAAAAATCATCATCATCATCAACAACATTATCACCCAATCCATAACCACTGGGTAAGGCCCAAAATCATGTACCTCAAACATGGGATTACCAGTTCTTAACCAACATTCGTTGGTCCGCTGTTTGATTATTCAATTTCATTTTATCTTGGTTAATGGCACCAAGTTTTGCCGCGTAAATTCACATCCCCTATTGTAGAAAACAACTGCGGCAACTGACCACAGTTCCTAAACTTCAAACTGGAAATACGCCTCATTCCCCCTTCTAACAACCACGTTTTGCTGAATCATCGGGCCGTTGTGAAGTTTTTCTTTCTGAGGAACCGCATATGCCAAGTAGTAGCCTGGATTGCAGAGTGTCGGACTCCTCAGGTGCCCACGAGTCTGCAATCGGCAGGCTTCGTTGGGGATGACACGGCAAGAAGATAGTACTACTTGGTGGTTCATCCCACGAATCCTAAGTAGGTTATATCCCTGGTTGTAAGTGGGATAAGTAGGGTTAATCCACTTAATTATAACTAGGGTTATAATCTACTTACGAAGTGGGGTGAGCAATCAAGTACCCTCTGGTAATGAATTTAACATAACTATGGAACAAAGATTGTTTTTCGGAGGTAATTCATCTCTAAGTGGACCGTTTCAAAAGCTATGTTAAATTACCGGAATCGGATGGTAAGTATAACAAAATAATATCGATAGTAAAACGATAATGATGGAAGTAAAATCAATGATAATAGTAATCGTGATGGTACACATACATATTCATCATTAATAAAGGCAATAACTAAAATCACATGCACTCAAGTGTATGTTATATGTATCTGTCGTGTTCAAGTGTATTTACCCTCTGGTAATTTAACAGTTTGCTATTGAAAATGGCCCATTTAAGTCGTTGATTTTCCCATGAATAATGGTGATTTTACATAGTTTTGTGTATGTTTACCAGAGGGAACATCCACCATTTTTAATGGGGAAATCTAACATAACATCTATGTTTTAATGTTAGTTAGTTATGTTAGTCATGTTCCATAGTTAAAATGGTGATTTTCCTTAAACACCGATCTTTTGCAACGCACCAGAGCTGAGTGTTTTGTTTGTTGGTGGTTGACCTACCCCTCTGAAAAATATTAGTCAATGGGACGGATTATCCCAGATATTATGGAAAATAAAAAATGTTTGAAACCACCAACCAGTAATAGATATATCACCTATATTGGAGTTATAAACCAACTTAGCTATCTTGGGAGCACCACCTTGCAGATTGGGTAAAGGGGATATAACTAACTGGTTGGTTGTTTTAACCATCTTGAAAAATATGAAAGTCAATGGGGATCATTATTCCCAATATATGGAAAAAATCATGTTCCAAACCACCAACAAGAAACCATCCCCCAGTCATCACCATTACTATAGATGGTATGTTTACCATTCCCAAATGGGGTGTAGCTTATTAGTGTTTTAACCACATTAGATCAAAACCCAAATCATACATATGACACAAGTATATTCTATATTATGGGATTTTAAGATAAGGTAATCCCAATACACGAAGTTGATTTTCTTAACCTTTAGGGTGTGAAAGACCATACCCCAAAAGGGGGTCTGTTTTGGGGTTTACCACATTACAGGTATCGTGCTATACTACATCATTATGATAACATATCATACCATAGTAAGCGTTGTATATAATGTCATATATGTAAATTGTAAATACATAGATATACACATTCACGGGACAGCAGCGAAAGAACACTAAATTGTTTGTATGTGTTTGTTTTTAATGTCATCTACTTATGAAAAATACACATTCAATGAATAAGTAGAATATTGATTATATTACTTATATTACTATAGTTTACAGTAATGTAGATTACAATATGTTTACATGTCATTACTTAAACTTATATTACTTATACCAAACTAGTTGGGATGTGGAAATCTACTGTAATGGTCCAGGCTCTGTCATTGGGATCCGACATCCTATGCTGGGCCACATGAACACACCCAGGGCTTTGGGGTACGTTTTGGATTTGGCCAATGCGTGCAGAAACCATGATGTCATGTTTAAAAAAAAAAAGAAATGTCCCAAATGATCTTTTATGTATGTATATATATATATATACATACATGTATGTGTATGTATGTATTTTTTGCAATGGAATGTAACCTAGCGCAATGTATGTACGTACGTGTCTGTATGTATGTGTGTATGCGTGTGTGTATGTCTGTGTATGTCTGTGTATGTCTGTGTATGTTTGTCTCTGTATATGTTTATATTTACGTATAGTCTCTTGGAACTGTGGATTCCAATGATATGATGTGGAGAATCAACTCAAGTTGACGTGTCTGTCATCGGCAATCATATGGTACGCAATGCAAGCTCATGTTGACATACGTGTCATGTCCTGGGGTGGCGGGAGGGCAAAAAAACGTCGATCAATGAAAATAATTACAATATATACGTAGATCAGACTTGCAATCTGTGAGGAAGGAAAATGACAGCGGGTGACATGATGAGCATTTGTTAATGCAAGCATGTTTGAGAAAATACCATCTGGTAAACTAACATAAGTATGGAACATTACCATTTTTTCTCTGGGAAAATCAGCAAAATTAGGAGGGTAACAGTCGTCACCAAAAAAAACGAAAAGGTCGGACCACGCTACATGCCGACCCCAAAATGAACGGATCAAGTACAACGTATGGACATCATTGCGTTCCCTATTGAAATGGCCATAATATGTTTTCTTCCACAATTTTTAAATACATATGAATTTATATATAGAGGTTTCCAATCCATGGGGGTACCCCATTTCTTCATCCATTTCTAGATTGGGGATTTTCCATGAAATAAACCATCCAGCTATTGAGGATCCCCCATTTATGGAAACCACCTATGATTCACCAGCCCGAAAAATTGCAATTCGGGGATGATTCCCCTTACGAAGCATCATTTCTAGTGACACCGCAGCATTGATCCAGAGAATGTATATATAATACTGTTTATGCACATTTTTTGTATAATACGTTTTATACATATATTATATACATATTATATATATATATATATATATTTACTATATATATATATATACATATCTATACGTATCCAATATGTATATATATATACATATTTATATATGTATACATATATCATACAAAATCTATGTTATATGTGATGTTTACATATAATCATGGAATATAATATTGATATGTGTCATAAATGTATATGTTGTGTATATATATATATATGTTATTATTTATATATATATATTCTATATATATAATATTATATAATATACCCTATTTTCAGACACACTCACTTTGATATCCAAGTGGCAAGTACCAACGGATACCGCTGTGACCAGCTTCGCATTTCGGTCCATGGTACAAATAGAGATCGCCTGCAAGGTCTGGGAAGTTCGGACATTCCAATTGATGTGGTTGGCTTGGTCCGAAAGCCGGTGGTCCAAAGAAGGATACACTAAATCATATGTGCTTAATATATGGCTAATAATACTATATGGCTATAAAATATAGTTAATCAGGGTTAATAGTAATAATATATAGTTAGTATATGGTGAAAATATACATATATATATATACATATATATATATACTTTGTGTGAGTAAAACAATGCCATAAACCAGCCATGACTGGGAATGGTAGCCATACCACCTATAAAAATGGCGATGACTGGGGGATAGTGCAAATGGCATTGTTTTACCCATATTTTAAATGAAGACTTATGAATGATAACCCATGAAATAGCTAAGTGAACATGAAGAGTTGCCACTTATAATACTTATAAAGGGATTCCCAACGAGTCAAGTACCTGCAAGCAAGGCATGCACCTTTGAAAAGTTCCAAAGCAGTTGCCAACCAGTTATCCCCAAGTTGTATCCCAAGGTGGTCCAAAATCCAATTAGAACTTGGCTTATCAAGCCAGTTAACTAGTTCGATATATCTACCACACACCCATCAGTTCATCTACTTGTAGACCAAGTGAACTAATGAACCCGGGCACTATCTTTCAAGGGTATATTACCCATGAAGAAGCGCATAATCCAATAATTAATCAACATCCCACTGCTAATATGAATATTCTCTTTAGTTAAAAGATAATCATCGCGTTTTTAAAATATTGTCTCAAGTAATTTCTCGAATTCAATCACATTTTTCCCCCTATGATCATCCCATCTAATTAACTTTGTTTATAGAGTATCCCTGAATTCACTGATTTACCTTACTCACAATGGTCATTGGGCTATCCGCAGCCCATTTTCAGACCCATCAAATAATATCAAGTTGGTGATATATCCCAGAAATATTCGCATATTATATCCCTCTTGCTATGATCCCATCATGACCCCTCTATATCCAACCACGACAAAAAACTTAGCTTGCAGCAGTGCAGCACCATAGATGTTATCAATACCTCTATATCCCATATTTTAGTAATGTCAACCCCGGATTCATAAACCATGGTTTATTAATTAGGGGGGTATTCCCCCCAATAGTCATGATTTGATACTTTTTTATGGTACCTTCCCAATAAAACAGCCGTAAACGGGGCTTATTACTCCAGGGTTGACATTATTATCCTATCATAACCACAACTAGATGGCTTGCCAATCATCCCATCTGGGGCGGATGGTCATGGCCTTTAAAAAAAAGTGTCGCTTAAACCTCTGTAGGGATATCTTCATATATGTTCCCACAGGTTCCTGGGATTTTCCATGAAACATCGTTGATTTAAAGGTTGAACCGCCTTTAACCATGATTTTCCGATGATTTTCCCATGATTTTCCCATGATTGTCCCATGATTATCCCATGATTAATTGACCATGATTAACCCATGATTTCAAAGCAGCCAACATGGCGTCTCCGCACGAAAACGGCACCTTCCTCCGAGAGGAACACCGGGGCGCCGTTGCCGGCGGCCCCGTGCGGCGCGAACTTGGTGTCGTTCAAGGCAGCTGGCGGAAACGGCCGCCATGGCAGATAGTGTTGTAAAGATCGAAATAGAATTAATGTGGGTAAATCATAGCAGATCCCAATAGTCCCAATAATTTAGTATCCTGGGGCCTTTTCGAATCCACTTGAGCAGTGTAAGTTGTCAATGGGAATTTCAGGATCCCAAAATGGAGGTACGATAGTACCATATTTTGGGCCATATTTTGCTGGGATATTCCTTAGGGGTTTCTTCTAACAGTAACTAGGGTACCCTCTTTACAGGCTATATATTGCCTAGATTAGGTACCCCCAGCAGTCATAATATACCCCTACCTTGTCTCATTCATACCCAATTTTTAACCAAAACATACCACACTTTTTGTTATAATATACCCCAAATTTTGGGGCATATATATCTCAATTTTTGTTATAATATACACCAATTATTGTTATAATATATCCCAAATCTTGTTCAAAATATACCCCAAATCTTGTTCAAAATATACCCCGAATTTCCCGGACCCATTCCAGACCCCAAATTTGGTGCATTTTTTGGATTCCAGACCCCAAATTTGGTGCATTTTTTGGATTCCAGACACCAAATTTGGGGTATGTCTTGGGATTCCATACCCCCAAATTTGGGGTATGGTTTGGGTGGTCAAAAAGGTATAGACCAACAAAAACTTCCTTCAAAGTGGTACGTATAAACAATTTGTGGCATATTGTGTATAATTGGAACACACATTTGGGGTATATTTTGAACAAGATTCGGGGTATATTTTGAGCAAGATTTGGGGTATATTTTGAACAAGATTTTGGATATATTATAACAATAATTTGGGTATATTGTAACAAAAATTGAAATATATATACCACAATTTTTATGGTATATTATAACAAAATTGGGGCATATATACTCCAAATATTGGGGTATAATTGCCTAAAGAGTTATTGTTAGAAGCAATGCCTAAGATATTCCCTTACACAGGCCTTATATAGGCCGTATATATGGTAGGTACCTCCAATTTAGGTTCCTGAAATGGCCATTGAAGTAAAGATCGAAATATAATTAATGTAGTATCCCGATTAGTGTGGGGATTCTGTATCAAGTGTTCCCAAAATAATTCTGAATCAGTGTAATTGTTGGGGTGGGTCGGTATTGTGTCAGTTTTTTTTTTTTCTGAGGCCATTTTTTTGTTCAGCATTTAGTTGTTTATTTTCGCTTTTGTTTTTTTCATTGATTCACATAGTTAATTAAGTAATTATTTGATGAGTACTTGCAACATGTCTTTGAACATACAAAAACAAACATATTTTTAGGATGCCTTATCAAAACCCAATTTTGTAAAAAAAGAAACAGTACCCAAACAATTTTTCAAGGGGGTAGTCCATGAGAAAACCCTGATTTTCAATAGTATGTTTGTTGTGTCGGTCCTCTATTGTGTCCAGTTTTTTTTTCTGCAGTTTTTTCTTTTCCAAAATCCTTCTCTTCTTTCCTTGTCCTTTCCTTTGCTAATATTTTTCTCTTTTACTTTCTTAGTTCCATTCTTTTGGAATTCTCAAAATGCCTAATTTCCCATAATATAGGATGCCTTATTAAAACACCATGAAAAAACAGCACCCAAACAATTTTTCAAGGGGGTAGCCCATGAGAAGCATTGATCTTCAATAGCATGTTTGTTGTGGTTGTCCTCTATTGTGTCCAGCGTTTTTTTGAAGTGATGTTGGTTTCCAAAACCCTTTTCTCCTTTCCTTTGCTATAGCTGTTGTCTCTTACTTAGTTCAATTCTCCTGGCATCCTCTCCTTGACTACTATGGTGTTTCTATGGGATTTCTGTAAAGTTTCTATGGGAATTCTATGGTGTTTCTTTGATATTCCATGGTGTTTCTAAAGGGGTGTCTATGGGATTCCCATGGGGTTTCAACAGGATGTCAGTGGTATTTCTATGATGTTCCTATGGGATTTCTTTGGGGGTTCCATGATATTTCTATGGGATTTCCATGACATTTTTATTGGATTCCTATGATATGTCATTTCTATGAGATTACTATAGGATTTATTTTTTGTTTAAAAAACAAAAACATGTATGTCTATGATATTTCTTTAGGATTTGTTTGAGATTTCTATGGGATTTCCATGAGGTTTATTTGGAATTTCTATGGTGGTTCTATGATATTCTCAAGGGGTGTCGATGGTATTTCTATGGGATTCCTATGGTGTTTCAGTAGGATGTCTATGGGATGTCCATTGGATTCCTAGGGGATTTCTATTGGATTTCTATGATGTTTCTTTGATATTTCTATGGGATTTCTGAAGGGATGCTATGGGAATTCTATGGTATTCTGGGTTTTCCATTGGATTCCTATGGGATTTCTATGGGATTTCTATGATATTTCTATGGGAATTCTTTGCGAGTCCTATGGGATTTACATGATATGTCTATTGGATTTCTATAATATGGCATTACTTCTATGGGATCACTATGGCATTCCTATGGGAGTTCCATAATCTTTCTATGATGTTTCTATGGGATTACTATGGGATTTCTGAGGGAATGGATTCTTATGGGATTTCTTTGTGGTTCCTATGAGATTCCATGTTATTTCTACTATCTTTCTATGGGATTTCTCTGGGATTCCAATGGGATTTCCATGATATGTCTATGATATTTTTTGGGGGATTACTATGGGATTACTATTGGATTATACAATCAATGAGAAGTAAATTGAAATCAGTTGAAGGTAAATTGAAATCATTTGAAAGTGGGCGGTTGTGAGCCACTTGCTGTAAGCAAGCGACGATGCCTTCCACATCCCGGGCGGCCACCATTCGCTTCAAGCGAAGGGGTCCGCCGCAGACGCGGCTCAAAAGCGATAGCGACAGCACAGTTTTTGCTGTGCATCGGACCGGCATCTTCCCAAAATGGCCACCCCCCTGCAGCAAGTCTCCAAACTTTTCTCCAAGATAGGAGCCTGCCACTGCCCCCAGCTTCAAATTGTTGGGCAAAAACAGCGTTCCCAACCAGCGCTTCACTCGATCATCCAAAGCTTAGCGGCTTAGCGCTTCACTCGATCAAGGTAAATTGAAATCAGTTGAACGTAAATTGAAATCAATTGAAAGTAAATTGACTGAAATCAATTGAAAGCAAATTGAACATCAATTGACATCAACTGAACATCAATTGAAATCAATTGAAAGTAAATTGAAATCAATTGAAAGTAAATTGAAATCAAACAAAATCAATTCATAAAATTTTATTCAGACCCCGATCCCTAAAAAAACACACATTAAACAGAGCCTCAGAATTGCTTAGGGGGGGTCCCCCCTACACTAATCAGGATCCAACATTACCAAGGATACTTGAGGCTTTACCACGTTATCAACAAGTAATGATTACGAAAAAGAAAAATGTACAATACTACAGTAATAATAATCATTAACCACGAAGTAGAGTCTAACACAAATAATAATCGTTGAAAATTACGTTTTAAAGTGTTATTACTGTATACTGTATATGTTATTATCGCTATATGTGCAATTAAACAAACAATGCTCAAGAATAGTGGTAACAACAACACCGAATGACAGGGTTTAGACCCCTAATCATGGGATATGACAAGAATAAGAACAATATTACTACGACTCATAGTATCAAGGGGTTCAAACCCCATGGGTAATCAGCAAAGTATGGGTCTACTGTTTTCTTTTTTAACGCAAAAGAAACAAGGTTTATTTGTTGTACCTCCAAATCGTGAAATCGGTGGGATCTGATCCCATCAGAAGAACAACCGTTCAGCCCACTAGTGAATATCAGTTTTCCTAGGAAGACCACTGGTTTTTCCACATCTATGTTAGCTTACCCCAGGGTAATGTTTAGTGGAAATGGTTACTATACTTCATAGAACAGAGCCAAAATTAGGATAGATAGTTGATAGTTTCCACAATGTCTTGGGAAGTCCTAGCAGCAAAACTGAGGAGATTGAATTAGTTGAGAGAGATAGGAACGTCGGAGAATAACCATGTTTCAATCCAGCACAACTTGGGAAATCGGCAATCTGGAAATAAAAAACATCTGCTGTACCCCACATTAACATAGACCCTGCCAAACATGGGGTTGGAAGATTACTTTCCACTACAATGTGGGGCCCCCTAGATAGCTAAGTTGGTTTATAACTCCAATAACTATGGTTTAAAACTTATAATACTACTTATAACTATAGTTAATGGGGTTTATAAACCATTTTAGAACTGGGGCCCACATTGTAGGAATGGTCATTTTTTCAGGGTCACAGTATTCATTTGGAATCGTCATCCAGGTCAGACGGAAACACAACGTCTTGCGTCAACAAATGAAAACTGGCTCCAAGTGAGAGGGTTTTTTGTTCGTAAGTGGTTTTGATTTCACGCGCACATTCATACATATGCATGTATATACAATGATATCTGTATATATATATATATATGTATGTTATTTATATATATTATATATATATGTATTATAAATATATATATATATATTCAAAATAAATACATATTATAAATATATACACAAATTCATCATGGATATTCTGAAGGAAATAGAAAATAAAAATGTCTATGTTTTGATCGAATAAACATCCTGATTCTATCTCTCCAGCATGACCATATCTGTATCTGTTTATGTATTTACCCTGTGGAAATCAAACCTGGCTTGCTGCAAAATCCACTATTTATAGATTACTGTCCTATTTAAACCTACAATTGTAGGATGTTTTCTAGTGCCACATTTGATTACCAAAAAGGTACCTATCTGTACATTTAGAATTCTCAATTCAGCAAATTATAGGTAGATAATTCACCAACTGATAAGAAAGAAACCAACCAAAATGGTGAGTTATAGGAATTCACCAACCTGAAAAAAGCAGTGATCATACGGCCATTCGGGGATGATTCCCCGAATCCATTCACCATGATTCCAGTGACATCACGACGTGAAGTCATTACAATTTATCCAAAGAATCATATACATATATTAATTGTGTTTATATAGATATATATATATATATACGTATATGTATACAATAGTATGTATGTAAATACACTAGTATTTACAAAAATAATGTATGTAATGTAATTTAATGTAATGTGATGTATTGTAATGTAATGTAATAAAGGTATGTACGTACGTACGTACGTACGTACGTACGTACGTATGTATGTATGTATGTTTGTTTTGCACCTCGGACGACAGCTACGTTTTTTGGGGTCAAACCACCAACCCTGTGCCTTGACCTTCACACAAATCACCTGGGAGACCCAGCGAGCTTTGGGCAACATCATTGGGGACCCAGCCTGGGTAGTAACTGAAGTTAGTAGTTATGTATGGATTAGTATTGGTATATACATATATATGTATATGTATATGTATATATATATATGGGTATATTGCCAACTTCCAAACACCAATACCAATACCACCATGAATATATATATATATATATATATATACATATATGGGATTATTAATGGTTAACCTATCCCATTTATTAACGGTTATATAATTAGATAACTGTATAGATAAATATAGATAAATGGATATTCTACATGTCTGAAACTTGGGGTTGGTATACCTCTAAATGGCTATTTTAATAAGGGCATTTCTTTCAAATCCAATGGATTTTGGGGTAGACGATGTTCAAACAAACCCATTTTTGTCAATGGGATGACCCACAAGTTGTGGGGGACTTACTAAGCAGATTTTGTTTTTTCCCACTCACCCAGCTGGAATGAGCCTGCAAGTAGGGCTTCAAATCACTGGCCATTTCAGGAACCTAAATTGGAGGTACCTACCATATATACGGCCTATGTAAGGCCTATGTAAGGGAATACACCCCCAAAATATGGCCTTATAAGGTACAGTACCTCCATTTTAGGATCGTGGAATGACCATTGATCAAAGGGCTGCAGTTCAAGTCATTGGATATACAACCAACCATGGTTGCAGCATTGGGCTTCTGTCCAAACTTCGGGTGGTTAATACCAGAGATATCCCCATCAAACTAACCCCAACTGCACCGCCAAGGATAATTTGGTATAATGTGGGTAAAACAATGCCATAAACCACCCATTTGGGAATGGTTTATACCACCTTTATGGTGATTTGAGGGATGGTTTATAAATGTTTTAGCCACGTTACTGTACCTGAAAATACACCATCCCCAGTACTGAGCGTGTGGGGTCACGTTTTGATTGGGGACAGATCGGGACAACATGGAAAAAGAAAAGGGCAAGTCTTTTTTTTGACCTTGGATCACTTTTTTTTAACCTTACCTCTCTTTTTCGACCTTGGATCACTTTTTTTGACCTTGGATCACTTTTTTTGGACCTTGACCTACTCTTTCTTAACCTTGGCATGTTCCTTTTAACCTTGGCCTACTTTCCCATACTTGTTTGGAACCTTGCGCCATCTTGCACTTTTTCTCTGTGTGTGTGTGATTCTGGAGTGTGTAGAGTGCGGAGGCAGGCATGTGGAATGTCGAGTTTGCATCTGGAGTGCGGAGTGTGGCGACTGGTGGGTGGAGTGTGCATGGCGTGGACTGTAATGTTTGCAGTGTATGGTTTTCACTTGTAGTGTTCAGTATGCTGAATGTGAAATGCAACGTTGGGCGTTTCGTGCCCAATGTGAGGTGTGGAGTTTGCAGTGTGAAGTGTAGAGTTTGCAGTCTAAAGGCTGTGGAATGTAGCGTTTGCAGTGTCATGCGTGGCATGTGTATTTGGGAGCACCAGGCACCAGGTGTGTAGTGTGTGTTTTGTAGAGAGTACGAAGTGTATAGAATCTGGGGTGCTAAATGTGTGCGGCATGCACCACCACCATTGACACCACGCATTCTGCAAAACCCTGCTTACTTAATTCCACAAAAGGCATTCGGTACCTGGTACCTTTGCAAATAGAAATACATACGAATATACATGTATACATGTAAACAATATAAAAATATACATATTTGCATACATACATACAGACATTACATTACATTACATTACATTGCATTGCATTGCATTGCATTGCATTGCATTACATACATACATACATACACACATACATTACATACATTACATTACATTGCATTACATGACATGACATTACATTACATGACATGACATTACATTGCATGACATGACATGACATGACACTACATTACATGCATAATTACATACATTACATACATTAGATACATTACATACATCACATACGTTACATACATTACATGCCTGCATGCATGCATGCAGACACGCATACGTTACATTCCATTACATTACATGACATGACATTACATACATAAATACACATATACAAATATACATGACAGGTTAGACAGGATTGAAAAGATAAGATAGATAGGGTAGAAAGTATAGACAAGATAGAAACAATAGAAAGGACAGATACCAAAGGTAGGATAGATAGGGTAGATAGGATACATAGGATAGAACATATAAATAAATATAAATAAGATATATAGGGTAGATAGGATAGGTAGGATAGATAGGAAAGATAGGATAGAAAAGGGTAAAATGGGAAAGGATAATTAGCACAGGATAGGTTAGGAAAGGGTAGAAAGAAAGATAGGAAATAAAGGATAAATAGCACAGACAGGATAGATAGGATCAACAGGAAAGACAGGATAGATGGGGTAGATAGGATAGTAAGGATATATGGAGTAAAACGAAAGATAGGAACGAACGAATATATAAGATAAATCGGATATATCGGATAGACAGGATAGATAGGATAAACAGGATAGTTAGGATAGAAAGGGATAGATAGGATAGAAAGGATAGATAGGATAGAAAGGATAGATAGGATAGACAGGACAGATAAAATAGATAGAAGGGGAGATAGATGGATAGAAAGATAGATAGACAGAAAGAAAGAT